CATCATCAGATTTAATAGTAAGAAGTGAGGAATTTGTGTTGTATGGCGATGCAGAGAACATAGTGAAGAAACAATGAAAAATGGTCATGTCCAGCAACGTTTACCTTGTAACATAAATTTAAACGAATGGTTAAATGTTATCACCGCCTACATTCACTACAGTCACTTGCAAACCAATTTCTTAATTTGCATGCATCCGAAGGAGATATGATGTACATGTGTATATTGTATTAAACAACCTTCGATCAGCGCTTGAAGTCTGAAGCAAAAAAAAAGACACTTTCTTTACCACTTATTAAGAGTGTTTCTTCTCTATGTAGAAGCAGAAACTATATCAATTATGCCCATTTCTATACTTTTGTATAGTGGGACGTTTTTCAGATGTTAAAAAAATAAGGAGATGTGGTGTAATTGCCAATGAGACAACTATGCATCAAAGTTCAAATACAGTTGATGTAAACAATTATAGGCAATCGTACGGCCTTTAAAAAAGAAAAACCCATATAGTATAGTTGGCTATACAAGGCCTCGATATGTTTTTTTGTATGTGGGGTTTTTTTTTTTTTTTTTTGGCAGTCGTCAGTTAATTTTACTTTTTCTGTACGTTTCAAGAAGATAACTGTTTATCAGCTATTCGATCGTGACATTGAATAGTTGCCTTTCGAGGACTTGTTAGAAACAACAAAGCCGAATTGAACTCTTCATGACATTTTCTAGAGGTTAACATTATATAGATAACACATAGCTGAGAGGGTGATAGAGCAGATTGTTACCCCGGCCGAGAAAATATTGTCAACTGAGGCGAAGCCAAGTTTGACAATGTCTTTTCGAGGGGTAACAATCTGCTCTATCACCCTCTCAGCTATGTGTTATTTAATTTGTTATACTGAATGTTCTGTTATTACTGTCGATTAAGTTTCAAATTCAAAGTAATAAACTATGACGTCTTGTACATAACAACCATCCGTTTTTAATAAAGCGCACACTTGATCAAGCGTCTCTGTGAAGGGTAATAGAGTATTTGTCATATGATAGAGTCGTATTTCATAAAGCGCACACTTGATCAAGCGTCTCCGTGAAGGGTAATAGAGTATTTACCACAGAACACTGAGAATAGAGTAAACTGTCTCCCTCGTATTAACCAATCAAAATCTGGCATTTTGACATGCAGTATAATAACTTTAATTAGTATACAGAACTTCACTTTCTCTTCCACTGGCCTTTTATCAAGCCTACTAGAAAATGTACCTTCTTGTCAGGTGATTTCAAGAAAACTATAACTTAATTTTACTGTGTGCTATATATCGATAAGTTAAGTAAGCCCTTTTCAATTGAAATCTCCGATGTAACCATGCAGTTTGAGAATTTACCCTTCAGGTTGACTTTGTAAGTGTTTGTGCAAATAGCTCATAACTGTTGTACATAACTTCAACTGATGCAAGGTAATCTGTAGAGGAGTTAGATACAAAATTTTACATGTCATAGAACAGGTGTCATTATATTGTCGTGTTTTACAGGCAGTTCTTTTCCAGTGCTTATCAATGTGTGCAGATGTCACAGTGTGGTTTATAGATAAAAGAAGATGTGGTATGAGTGCCAATGAGACAACTCTCCATCCAATTCAAAATTTATAAAAGTAAACCATTATAGGTCAAAGTACGGTCATCAACACGGAGCCTTGGCTCACACCGAACAGCAAGCTATAAAGGGCCCCAAAAATTACAAGTGTAAAACCATTCAAACGGGAAAACCAACGGTCTAATCTATATAAAAAACGAGAAACGAGAAACACTTATGAACCACATCAACAAACGACAACTACTGAACATCAGATTCCTAACTTAGGACAGGTGCAAACAATTGCAGCGGGTTTAAACGTTTTAATGGTACCAAACCTTCACCCTTATCTGAGACAATAGTGTGACATCACCACATAGAAAAACACACTATAAAATATCAATTGAAATGGCTTAACTCAATCAAAAGACATATTAACACGAGTGAACATACACTTAACAAATAAATTTGATCTATGTTACAATACAAATACAAAAAAAATAAACTAAGAGAAGAATAATTAAAGTAACATGTTATACCGCTGTGAAATGTTAAACAATTTAAGAAAAACAATATACTTGAACAAAAATATCAGCCATTTGCAATTACTTTAAACACAGGTAAATAAAAATAATTTTGTTGTTAGGTTTACGTGTACAGTTCAAATAGAGAAAGGAAATATTTTTACAAAATAAATAATTTTGATGTTCATAGTACGAAGAAGTGAAAATTTATAGTAATACCAAACACTTATCAAAGCTGGTATATAGACCAGATATAATCCTGAATAACATTAAATAACAAAAAAGCATTACAATTAGTATCAACAGGTCATAAACAAGAAAGTACGATTTGAGAGTACTTGCAGTTACTGACAGCTAGTTAAAAGCCAAAAACAATTAATAATAAAAAAATCATGCATTAGAGACTAAAATCAACTAAAACACATCGTCAGTAATTCTTACGTAACAAGACATTTGTGCAACCCTTTCCATTTTTATGCCCCCGCTGTAGCCATTAAGTTTTACCCTTGTCCGTCCGTCCGTCCATACGTACGTCCCAAAGTTTGTTTCCGTTCTCCAACTTTAGTTTGTCTCAACCAAATGTTATGAAACTCATACACAATGCTTATTACCACAACACACAGATCAAGTATAAATTTTGGTGGCATCACTTTTACCGTTCTAGAGTTATGCCCTTCACAAATGGAAAAATTGCTGAATTTTTCGTTTCCATTCTCTAACTTTATTTTGTCTCAACCAAATGTTATGAAACTTATACACAATGCTTATTACTACAAAACACAGATCAAGTATGAATTTTGGTGGTGTCACTTTTACTGTTCTAGAGTTAATTAGTACATATCTTTTACTTTCTTTTCCACAGTTGTACCCTTTGATAAACAAGTGAAAGATAAATGGTCAAGATTTAATTATAACGACCTATGCATATGGTATCAAACATCTGTGTCTAGATATTCACAGAGAGATATTTTAAAATAGTGCTGTTGCTTCTACATAATGAGTTATAGTGGGCTTTGGGATTTGATTTGTAACAATAAAAACATTATGCATACTAGTCATTTAAATTTTTGACAAATCAGATAAAAAAAATCTGTTTCAACTGAAAATAAAACAAGTAAAATATTAAAAGACTATTCGTTAATATACATTTTTTACAACTTTTACTGTTTCCTTTTTACAGTATTCTCTATCAATTAAGTTATCTTGTAAGCTAATTAAATGTTTATTTAATTCATTGATGTCACTATTATTTCTTGTATTATTCACACACTGTAAATTAATGCACTGTAATTTATGTGTGTTTTGGATGTGCACTAGTGATTGGTAAATATTGATACATTTCTGTGTTTTTAATATACGTGACTTAACATCAAGAATTCCATTACTATGGAATCGATCACCTTTGTACACTTCGGTATCTAAATAGAGGGTGGTAATAAAAAAAGGGGGGGGGGGGGGTCTGAACACGGAAACACGTGAAACAACAAATCGCAAAAACGTTGCACGGAAAAAAAACACTCTGGAAAAAAGAAGCCAAGGAATAAAATCGTAAATGTTTAGGAAAAAAGTACCAAAAGTTATTACTCAGCCGTTCTTGGAGATCATGCAGTCATTATAAATTGACATGGCGACCCTGCTTGTGGTCACTTTTTAGCGTCCTCTAGTTGCATACGATTTAACATAGTAATACAATACTATTAATCAATGATAAATATCTTGGGAACAGTTAATCAGTTTATAATTTAAAACAATATCTGCATGGGCAGTCCCGGTTTACTTTTTAATCAAATGCGGGACAAGCACGGAAAAATACGAGTTCCGACACGAAACACGGGAAATAATTAAGGGAAAACACGAAGCACGCACGTCGAAACAAACACGAGAAAACGAGAAATAAAACGTCGAAACACGAAATCACGTGAAATAAAAAGGCCGAAAACGTTGCACGAAAATAACGCTTTACCACCCTCTAAATAGGTCATACTAGATGTCGACACCTCATATTAGAACTAAAGTAGATGGTTAATTTCGTTTGCTAGGTTAAAGAAATCTTCAACTTGCTCTAATTTTCCTGTGGACCATAAAACCGTCATCCCTATTGACAGTGTAATTTGATGTTTTCTCTCCATTGGAACTTACCTAAGATTTTAATGAATAGGACAGACAGATGCAGATCTGTGCATGTTGGTGAAAATATACCACCCATGAACGCTCCTATAATGTGTTTGTATAACAGTCCATTAAACTCAAATTCATTGTTTCAAAAAATTAATTTAACATGCAAATGCAGTTAAATATATATATATTTTGTTGAGAATCATTAAAGTATATTCTCATGTGTGTCAATTAATTCTAATGCATTGATAACAGTTTCTTCTAAATTATCAATGATCATATTTGTGTACCTTGACGTACATCATAGGCAATAAGAATGCATTCTTTTTTTACCTCGTGTGACTCTTTTTTATTAATGGAATCTTTTTATCTTGAATGTAAAAGTTATGCCTCTTCAATAATGGTTTTATAATTAGACCAAGTAAGTATCTCTCGCGGGAGAGTTGCATTTATTAATGATTGGTCGGTAACGAACATTATAATGTGTCCTGCTTGCTGACCAGTTCGCAATGCCTCATTACTTATTTCTAGATTAATTTTATAAATTTTTGGAAGAAGGTACATGTGTCCCCCATGTTTTGAATCATTATTATTCCTCAAGAAATTATACGTCTGGGAATCTATTTTTTTCCCTCATTGCTTTATATTTAACACTTCTCTCAACATGCCAAAATTGTAATGGTTTACAATAAAAAGAAACTATTATCTTCCACACACATGACCAAAAAGCAACTTGTTATTGTATCGCACGGAAATGGCGGGAAATATTGAACAAAGTAAGGTCATTTTATTATTTCCGGTTCACGGTAAACACGTGTTTCAAGACAATAACATTGCAAAGCACAGCAAGTAGGTTTAAAGTCACTATTCGTTTCTTTGAGTTTTCATGTAGCAATCTCAAACGCAATCTTAATGCCTGTTGGTACAAATTGTCTTAAATGTGCAGATTTACTCCTTCGTGCGTTATGCTCAACGTATTTTTCTCTCTCTATAAATAAGATGTGGTATGAGTGCCAAATATTGAAATAATGGCAAATTCATTTTCAATTATTTTTGTGTTTTTGTAAATATATATATAGGCCACGCAGCGCAAAACAGTATATGATCTTCAGATAACGGACTACTGAAAATCGAAAGAAAAAGAAGAAGAGACAACTCTCCAAGTCACAAAGTATAAAAAGTTAACAATTGTGTCAAAGTACGGCCTTAAACACGGGGTCTTGGCTCACCCCGAGCAGCAAGCTATAATGTGCCCCAAAAATTATTACTAGTGTAAAACAATTCAAACAGGAAAACCAACGTTCTAAGGGAGCAACCATTTAACTTCAAGTGGTGGGGTTATGGTTTTTTTGTGGAGTCAGAATTTTTTTTCGCGCCAAGTGAGAACAATTTTTTTTTAATTTTTCCACGCTATCAATCAAATTATTTTTTTCAAAATTTAACACTATATATATCAGTCAGGGGTACTACTTGTACAAGTAATTTTTATTTACTTGAAGAAGTAAATATTAATATACTTATATAAGTAAATATTAATATACTTATATTTATATAAGTAAATATTAATATACTTATGTTTATATAAGTAAATATTAATATACTTATATAAGTAAATTTGTAGGATACTTATACAAGTGTATTTTATTTACTTGTATAGGTAAAAAAAAATTGGGCTTAGTTGTGTCCCTTAGACATTCAAATTTTTTTACTTATACAAGTAAAAAAGTCATCCTATCTTCTATTCTTGAATTCTTAGGACTTCTTTGCTCTAATAGAATTTTTGATTGTCTATCCTTTGCAGATGTCTTTACTAATCATTTAAGTGTAATTTCATGGACAATGAAAATCTCATTTGTCTGTTATCTTCAGAACACTGCTCATTTACAAGCCCCCAAGGGGCAATTTTTGAAGGCCTTGCACAAATAAGATCTTTGGACAATCAGTTTCTTTGTTGAATTAATGAGATGAAACATTAGACTCTAATCAAAAATTATGAGCTAACCTGAGAAAAATTGATAAAGGCATGTTTTTACATCTCAAAACTTCAGAATTTTTGTGGGATTGTAAAAAAATTTACTTATACAAGTAAATTTTTGAGAAAAATTAAGGGGAGATTATTCAAACATTATAATTAACTTATATAAGTTTATTTTATTTACTTCTTCATGTAAATAAAGCTTACTTGTATAAGTAGTATCCCTGACTGTATATAGTATAAGGGAACGACCATTTAACTTCAAGGGGGAGGGGGGTATGGTTTTTTCCTAAAAAAGTATTCTGATCCCCAATTTCATGAAAAAAAATATTGTGGTCAAACAGATGACAAAAAAAATATTCTGAATCCAGGTTTTTCCCATACCTTAGGAAGCAACCATTTAACTTCAAGAGGTGGGGGTTATGGTTTTTTGTCAGAGTCAGAATTTGTTTTTCATGAACATTTTTATATAGTTTTCAAAGCTATCAATCAAATTATTTCATTCAAAGAGGGGCGTAAAGGGGGGTATCTGCACGTAAGAACCAAAATAAAATTGCCATTTCACGATGAACGAACAATTAAAAATTTCTTCCACGTTGATCTTTTTACTGATTTCACGAAACACACTACATTATAATTATTTACTGTGAAAAAAATGTATGGTGGACATAATTTCAGGGAGGACAATATTTAATCCTACGCCTGTGTCCATAAATTATTAAATACTTACACTTGTAATAAATGTACATACAATGAACACTGACAAAGGCAAACTTGACACTTATTTTATCATTTAAAGATTGTTTTCAAAAAGAAAAATATTTAGATAATATGATGCATTTTCCCCAAATGACCATAGGTTAACTGGGGCAGTTCATTCATAAAATCGAAATGGAATGTCTTGAATAATCAATTGCCTTAATGTGTGATATATATTGTTTGGTAGATTATAAATGACAGAAACAGTTCTGGTAATCGGTAGTGGAGGAAGGGAACATGTGTTGTCATGGAAACTATCAAAGTCACCAAAAGTCGGTCAGATTTATGTTGCCCCAGGAAATGCAGGGACTTGTCAATCCAAGAAAATAGAAAATGTTGGTAAGGTTAACAGATATTTTATCATTTAGTGATTTAGATAGTGAAACTGTTAAAATGAAGATTAAACATTTGTTTTAACATATTACTAGTATAAGATATCGGTTTACTTTCAGTTTAATAACATTCATTAGATTCATTCCTGCCATGCCTGCAGCGCCTGCATTTGGAGTGTATATCTCCCAGTTGATACAATATTCCAGGGCTTGTATTTCCTATCATGATTTCCTTATAGTCTGATAGACAGTTGCTGCTAACAAGGAAGCTATTAAACCAAGAGTTCTAAGTGGTGAAGTTGAAATCATCCCTTCGTAAATTTTACAGATGCCATCACGAGTTGGTTGACTGTTATGGAATATCTTTTTCACAGATGACGACTGATATGTTCCAATTGTTGTAACCACAATCGGAATCCTGTCCTCTTTTCCCTGAATGTGGAGCAGGATCTGCTTACCCTTGGGAGCACCTGAGATCACCCAAGGTTTTTGATGGGGTTTGTGTTGCTCAGACTTTAGTTTCCTATGCTGTGTTTTGTATACTGTTGTTTGTCTTATGGTTTTTTTATACGCCCGTCAAATTTTTGACGGGACGTATTATGGTATACAAATGTCCGGTGTCTGTCCGTCTGTCTGTCCGTCTGTCCGTCTGTCTGTCCGTCTGTCCGTCTGTCTGTCCGGCGTAAACATGTCGCACCGTAACTTGAGAATGACTTATCCAAATTTCATGAAACTTAACATAGTTGTTTCTTATGATGGTCAAGCGATCTGTATACTTTTTGGTGAAAATAAGATTAAAACTTTTTGAGTTACGGGACTTAGTAACTAAAACAGTTGTGTGTTTTTTTTCACATGTCGCGTCGTATCTCAAAAACAATTTATGATTATTGCTTAAAACTTTACACACTTCTTAGTTATATTAATCTTAAGATCTGTATACTTTTTGGTGATGATTCAAAATTTTATTATTGAGATATTGAGTATTTTGTTAAAAAAGGGGGAGGGGTTTTTCACATGTCGCGCCGTATCTCAAAAACAGTTTATGATTATTGCTTAAAACTTTACACACTTCTTAGTGATATTAACCTTAAGATCTGTATACTTTTTGGTGATGATTCAAAATTTTATTTTTGAGTTATTGAGTATTTTGTAAAAAAGGGGGAGGGGTTTTTCACATGTCGCGCCATATCTCAAAAACGATTTATGATTATTGCTTAAAATTTTACACACTTCTTAGTTATATTAATCTAAAGATCCGTATACTTTTTGGTTTTGATTCAAAATTTTATTTTTGAGATATTGATTTTTTTTTTTAAAAAGGGGGGGTTTTCACATGTCGCGCCGTATCTCAAAAAAGATTTATGATTATTGCTTAAAATTTAACACACTTCTTAGTTATATTAATCTAAAGATCTGTATACTTTTTGGTTTTGATTCAAAATTTTATTTTAGAGATATTGAGTTTTTCGTAAAAAAAAAAGGGGGTTTTCGCATGTCACGCCGTATGTCAGAAACTATTTATGCTTATTGCATAAAAATTCACACACAAGACAACGGGCGTATCATGCGCTCATGGCGCAGCTGTTTATTTTTTTTTTTGCCATGGCGTTGACAGTTTATTTTCGACTTATGAGTTTGAATGTCCCTTTGGTATCTTTCACCTCTCTTTTAGATAACATTAAGACATCCAAACAATTTTGCATCTGATGGTCATAGCTTAAACTGTCCTAAATAGGGACCGATTTAGGTGCGGTTGTGGCAGATGGTTCAACCTCTTAAATAGCTAAAGCATGGGTTGCGAGAATTAAGAAAGACTTGAGAGAAGAAAAAAATTCAAACAACATGTAAATCCTGAAATGTCAGGGGTTGGGGTCTGGTTTAGAACATTGTGTACAATGCAGACAGTGTTCTCCTTTGATGTCTCAAAAGCTGGACTCTTGCTGCCAGAACAATATTGATGAACATTAAAAGAACCCTAAATATTTTTTTTATTTTTTTTCGTTTAAAAAAAAAAGAGGCACTCTAAAGCATGTAGTTGTTGTTATATGGCCTTTAAAAGTAAGTTAATGCTGAAATTGTAAACTGAACTATGGTTAACATGATATATTGAGATGATCAAGCATTTATAAATGGCATTCAGGAAACATGCAGAAAACTGAGGAAGGAAGTACAAAATGACCCAAGTTTACATGTAAATGTAATATATTGGTACCGTAGTTAGACAGAATTTGTATTCTTGTTATACAATAGAACTTTCTGTTAAAATGAAGCCATCCTCAACAGGACAAACTTCTTCAATCAGCACTTTGCTACTTCTTATTAAGTAAATTTATTCCTTTCATCAATGGCTTCCTATTTAAGCCGATTCTAGATTAAGATATCATTAACTACCTTATAACATATATAGCAAGAATGTGTCCATAGTACACGGATGCCCCACTCGCAGTATCATTTACTATGTTCAGTGGACCGTGAAATTAGGGTCAAAACTCTTAATTTGGCATTAAAATTAAAATTAGAAAGATCATATGATAGGGAGCATGTGTACTAAGTTTCAAGTAGATTGGACTTCAACTTCATCAAAAACTACCTTGAACAAAAACTTTTAAACTTGAAGCGGGACGGACGGACCCAAAAACATAATGCCCCTCTACTATCGTAGGTGGGGCATAAAAATGCGTGTAAAAATATTGTAACCTGTTTTGCTTGTATATTTACAGATTTAAGTGTGAAAGATTTTAATGCTGTTGTGAAATTTTGTGATGATAAGAAAGTTTCCTTGGTTGTTATTGGACCAGAAGATCCGTTGGCTGCTGGGATAGCTGATACCCTGCAACAACATGGTAACAGAGATTGTCTATTTTGTTATATCTAGTCTAAAAAATATAGTGCGAAAAACAGGGGTTCAAATTTACTTGAGAAAGTCCAAGATCTACTATTCTTGTTGGAATTACAGTAAAAATTACTTGAAAATGCATTTAAAAATGGATTAAAAATACCTTTTTTGAAAATTGAATAATTTGTATGAAATACTATAAAGTGTAGTTTTGAAAAGGAATGACTTGCCCACATGCTATTGAACTAGGAATAATTGGTTATAATTCAAGTGCTATTAACGTTTGTTTTATTGACATTGTAAGATTTATTTTCTAGGTATATGTTGTTTTGGCCCTAGTGCTGCAGCTGCACAAATTGAAGCCAGTAAAAGTTTCTCTAAACAGTTTATGGAAAGACATAACATACCAACAGCTAGATTTCAAACATTTACATGTCCAGATGCTGCTATCAAACATATTAAGAGGTAATTGTAAAATGTGTTATTAAAAAATTAAGATAGATGAAAATAAAACTTTTAATTGTGTGCATCCAAAGCCTTTTTTCTCGATTTACCTTAATCACGAATGTTCAAGCCTAAACATTTGATAGCCTGTGATGTATAAATGTGTCGAAACTTTAGTAGCGATATGACCAAAAGGACCTAAAAAGAATAGCCAAATTTATCTACTGTCAGAGTTATAACCTAAGACAAAATATGAAAAATAGGTCTGAAAATAAAAACTTTTGTGAAATTTACAAACTGAGTGCGGAAAGTGGTGGGTTCAATCCCCCGTCTGGTCTAACCAAAGCCATCAAATTTGTATGTGCTACTCCTCTACTAAGCATGTATCATTTAGAAGTAAGAGCAAAGACTGATGGACTCGGAGTTAGAATAATGTGTTCAAGTAGGGTTTCTTCCTGTAGACTGTTCCCTTTGAAAAAGCACGTTAAAAATTTTGCTCAGTGTGTTCGTCCAAAACAAAGCAAGATGATATTCATATCAAATTAACATGTTCTTGTCCTGAATATTAAACTTAAATTTGCCACTGGGTGTTAAACAGCTATCCATCAACAGCATCTTTTTTTAAAATTTTGTTTAGCTTATATCTCTTAGGAGTATATTATAGTTTCCAATAGTAATAGCTTATTTGTAGAAATTAGTAGCAGAAATAAATCTTTTTTTTTCCACTATTTAGTGCTACTTATAAAGCATTAGTTATAAAGGCCAGTGGATTATCAGCAGGGAAAGGTGTAGTGGTAGCACAGAACAAAGACCAAGCATGTCAAGCTGTTACTGATATTTTGGTGGTATGTTAAGTTTTGTACTAATCAATGAAGACCAAGCATGTCAGTTCAGAAATGTTTTCGATGTTCTTATTAATGTGAAAAAATGCAACAATATCATGTATGCAATAATAAAAACTTACATTCATAGTTTCAGTAGTGGTTTTCCTTCACAAAAACTTAGCAGTTTCATTAATTAAATCTTGCATTTTTACCAGTAATCAGTAATTCACAATAATAAATGTACACATTAATTTGTGAATTCAGTGTTGCTGTGTTTTGGTAGTAGGTTAAATTTTATAGTAATCAACAAAGGCAAAGCATGTCAAGCCGTTCTGATACAGTGGTTGTAGTATTCAATTTAAAAGTACTAATCAAGTACAAATCATATTTTTATCCTGTTTGGTAATTTCCCTTTCAGTGTAGGTCTGTGAATACATACTTTATCTTCATATGATTATAACCCTGCTCTGAAGGAGGTGGTGTGTACTGTTTTACTTCTGTCTGGTCGTCCAGCCCATGAAATTCTGTCACATTTTTTTAAGGAACTACAAGAGCCTCATAAAATTTGTTATCAGTCTTGTGTATATTAGTTTCAGATTCATCAATCCACAACTTCCTGTGTACTGAAAACTTATATGTTCTAACACAATTGCCATGTATAAAATTTAATCGCTTTCTTGGGTACTGCAAAATTCAGCATTCTGAAAATAGTAACCATGTTTCATGTGAGCATGCTTCACTCTGTGATGCGTCTTCAGATTCCTCCTTTATCAACTTCCTGTTTACTGATTACTTACAAACTCTAACACATAATGGCCATGCAAGAAATTTTTGTCACAATTTTTTAGGGAATTTCAATTAAGAACATCCTGTAATTTCTTATCAGGCTTCATTTGAATGAGCATCACCGTTTGATGCTTTTTTTAAGATTGATCACTGGTCACTTCCTATATACTGATTTCATAAAGTTGGGGTATCATTAGTGTTTTACTTGTTTTATCACATGTTAGGGCATTTTATGTAACTTACAGACTCATAACATTTGTATACTTCTAACAATCTGGTATTTCTTCATATCACTGTGTTCACCACAATATTTCCACTTTCCTGCCTTCTTAACTATTTGCAATCTCCCTCTGCTTCCTCATTAATTTTCTAGTTTTTTAGTGTTTATACAGTAATACCTCTAGTTATCTCCAATTCGTCAACTCTTCAGTTTTCTCTTGATTCCATATTGAGCATATGCGTTGCTCTTTCCTCATACAGTTTGATTTGATTTCATCAATTTAAGAACATTTAGGCTATCAAGATAAGATGGAAGATAATTATATGTTCTAAATGTCCGAATATGATGAATACACTTGATCAGCATGATAAGTGTTACAAACACTGGACTTTCAACGATTTCTTTCCATGCGATATATTTGCAAGTCTTAGTCAAAGAATCGTCACAAGATGGTCATTGAGATGATAGAGAAAAGTGGTCTTAGTTTGGTTCTGTCAGACATACAAGGAATTAAGCTTTGCCAGACCTGCAAACATTTTGCTGGAAAACAGAATTACGTATAAGCCCAACCAAACCAGATATTTTATATGTGGCCTTGTTTTATACTTCGAAAATATAGAAAACATGGTTTTACCAAAGATGACAATAACCAAAATATTCTCATACTATCAGTATTTTGTAGAACAAGAAATATGGATCTGCTGGTGAGGAGATAGTTGTGGAAGAATTTCTAGAAGGAGAAGAAGTTTCGGTATGTACTCGTATTTATTGGTTAAAATGAGCTTACATTTGTTAGCCTTGGGTTGGAAAGATTTTCATTGAATATAATTTAGTTTTTGGTTACAGATTGTTGACAGAATTATATTTCTTAGATGAGCAGTAAGTGCATGTATGGAAATTATTTTATACTTTTAAATAATATTTAGATAAAAAAGGAATCTGAATAAAATATTTATATTTACCAGAAGTAATTTTGCAGGACCCGTTAACAAAATGAACTCTTCTCAGGTATAAAACACACAAACAATAAAGAATATAATATCAACAGAGAAAAAATAGCTGTTCAGAATTTATATTTCAAACAATGAACACTATAAAACCCACTCCAATTTCATTGATGTGAGACAATCTACCTTGTAATCATATGGGAATATTTTTCTTTCAATACATATTCCCATCGTTGGCATTTGTTGTTGTTCAGAAATTTGTGCTACTAGTCAGATTATGTTCAACTATTTTTTAGTTTGCCTTTTCAGGTGTTAAAGGCAAAAATTACCTGGTTTGTAGAGGGTTAATATGAAAGCTTTTGGTTTATTTCTCAACCTCATTGTTTTGAATATGCAAAACATAAATTCAGTCTTTATTTCTTTTAACAGGTTTTAGCATTTTGTGATGGAGATAATGTTGCTCTGATGCCACCAGCACAGGACCATAAGCAGCTGAATGTAGGGGACCAAGGACCTAACACTGGAGGAATGGGGGCTATATGTCCGTATCCTCAGGTAAGACAAAGGACCAAACAAAACTGTAGCCTCGAGTTGTTAGCAAGTACATGTACAGTGTCTATGCTGTTTTAAAAATCACAAATAATAAATAAAAATTTTCACATCAAATAGCTTCAGTTGTTGACATGCTACTTTTCAGAAAAATGGTTATGGCAATGTTTTTAAAGAGATTAAGAAAATTGGATGTGTCATTGATACTTTTTTTTAATGGTTTTAATTTCCCTTTTAAACTTTATAATTGTGAAAACCATTACATTGTGTATTGGTCAATTTCTCAGTTTATTCTCTTCACACACCTTTAATCAGTTGTCATTCTTTGTGGATGTTCAACCTTTGCACGGGTGTTATACAAAATAGAATGATAATATTATCTGAAAATATGCAGGTTTTTGCGTGAATTTTATCATTCTTACAAATATCAAATGTAGAGCTTAAAGAGGCTACTCCAGATTCTTTTACCCTTCTAAATTTCTTCTTGTAATAACATGAATTTAAAAAAAGAGTATGAGATAGTTATTGTATTTGTAGAAAAGTACTGCTTGTACCTGTATTGTCTTGGTAGGATTTGTAGAAAAGTACTGCTTGTACCTGTATTGTCTTGGTAGGATTAGTAGAAAAGTACTGCTTGTACCTGTATTGTCTTGGTAGGATTTGTAGAAAAGTACTGCTTGTACCTGTATTGTCTTGGTAGGATTTGTAGAAAAGTACTGCTTGTACCTGTATTGTCTTGGTAGGATTGTAGAAAAATACTGCTTGTACCTGTATTGTCTCCTCAGGATTGTTTGTCAACATGTATAGTGGACTACACTAACCAGTCATTTTGATTTGACAATTTTAATGGAAATTATTGAACTTTGACCATTATTCTTACCCAATGACTTCTTTGAAGATGATTGCATAACTGGTAGGATTGTTTGTCATTATGTGTACTTGACCATACTTTACTGTCATTTTGGTTTGTCAATTCTTGTTTGAGTTATTGTACTTTGATTAAAGGAAATTCTATTGTAACACAATACACCTTGTGAATGCAACTCGTCTGAGGCTGTTCTTTTAAAGCTTTTATAGTCAGTAGGATTGTATGTCATCATGTGTAGTTGACAATACTTTACTGCCATTTTGATTTGACCTTTTCTCCTGGAGTTATTGGACTTTGACAAGTTCCAGCTTATTGCAGCATAATCACACCAAATTACTGTATTTCATAATACTCTGCAGTGGAGGATGTTTTGCTAAGGCATAAGAATCTTCTTATCCCCCAAGTGTAGCACCAAATGGAATATTGTAATGGTCTCTATCTATTGGAAATACATCAATGGTCAGATACTGTTTGACTAAAAGCTTTCACACTAACTCCTTCAGATTTTTATTCTGTTTGTGGGTTAAATGCCCCAGTTTACACATCAATAATCTCTAGAAAAATGTGTTTCATTCTATAATGAACTGTTCAACCAATGCTTTAAAAATTATGATATGTTGTTTCTGTTGACAAAATGGAGGTTGACTTTCTTAATGACAATTTTCACTTTAGCTGTCATTGTACCTCATTGGAAAATAGCACTTTACTTAATTTCCATCCAATATCTTATGAATTAATCACCCAATGCTTTTCACAATTTCATATACATGTAGTGTTACTGATGAGAAAATTGATGCCAAGCTCAATATTGACGATTTTCACTTTTGCCATTCAGGAGTTTCATCCCCTTTTTTGATTAGAAAATGGCCCCCTATGTAGTTTCCATGCTTTAAATGGAGAACTGTTTGACTAAAGCTAATAAAATTTCAGTTTGTTGTTACTGGTGACAAAATTGAGGTGAAGATTGATGTTGACAATTTTCACAGGATTTATTGCCCTCCATTGCTTTAAAAATGACACTAATAAATGTAATAAAAACCCTGTTTGCTGTCAATTTGACAGCCTCTTGTTTCACTATTGTAACACAATCACACTACATGAAATAAATACACATGAGGCTGTTTGCCTGAAAGCCTTCATACTAAGTAGGATGTCTTGTGTAGTTGACAATACTTTACTGTCATTTTGATTTGAAATTTTCAGCTGGAGTTATTGGACTTTGAGTATCCTCAGCTTATTGCAGCCTTATCACCCCTTATTTCACAGTTCTTATTTGCAAGGAACATTTCGGTGTAGCAATTTTGTTCTATTTGAATAAGCGCTATATGTCCATATCCTCTGTTGAAACAATTAGGAGCTTTATGTCAATATTCTTGGTAAAACAAAGGAACATCCAATACAGAAGCCTAAAATTGTTAACTGTGTAACTTGTAGATTGTCTATATTATTTTTTTAAAAGCACAAACTAATGAATAAATCATATTCACATAAGAAAAACTTCATTGGTAGATGTGCTACTTTACAGAAAAATTGTTATGGAAATTTTGTACCGACCGTGCAAGACCCTCAGCCTCAGGGGTAGTCAAGGTAGTTAAAAACTTACCTCATCGTCTGAAAAGATCAAGTAAATTAGATCTATAAGGGATATTTCTTTCTAATGGTATTAATTTTATTTTTAACTTCATAATCTTTAATATAATCAGATTGTACATTGGACAACTTCTCTGTCCATATCTTTCCCCCCTACACCTTAAATCAGTTGTCATTCTTTGTGGATGCTCAACCTTTGCACGGGTGTTATACCAAATAGAATGATAATATTATCTAAAAATATGCAATATTCTGCATGAAATTTATCATTCCAACAGATGTGAAATTTGAGAAACTTTAAAGAGGCTACACCAGATTTTTTTTTATCTTTCTCAACTTTTACTTGGTATCACCTGAATTTATAAAAAAAAGTATGAGATAGTCATTGTATTTGTAGTACATCTTGTACCTGTATTGTCTTGGTAAGATTTTTGTATGAGATAGTCATTGTATTTGTAGTACATTGTGTCCCTGTATTGTCTTGGTAGGATTTTTGTATGAGATAGTCATTGTATTTGCAGTACATCTTGTCCCTGTATTGTCTTGGTAGGATTTTTGTATGAGATAGTCATTGTATTTGTAGTACATCTTGTACCTGTATTGTCTTGGTAAGATTTTTGTATGAGATAGTCATTGTATTTGTAGTACATTGTGTCCCTTTATTGTCTTGGTAGGATTTTTGTATGAGATAGTCATTGTATTTGCAGTACATCTTGTACCTGTATTGTCTTGGTAGGATTTTTGTATGAGATAGTCATTGTATTTGCAGTACATCTTGTACCTGTATTGTCTTGGTAGGATTTTTGTATGAGATAGTCATTGTATTTGTAGTACATCTTGTACCTGTATTGTCTTGGTAAGGTTTTTTGATGATTTTTTGTCATTATGTAAAGTTAACCATACTATAACATCATTTTGATTTGACAATAACAGGTGAATTATTGAAATTGGATCATTATTTTTACCTTTGTAACACAATGAAATCTTTGAATGCATTTTCCCAGAGACCACTTGACAAAAGATTTCAGAATTGGTAGGAGTGTGTGTCATCATGTGTTGTTGACCATGTTATACTGCCATTTTTGTCTTGCCTGTCGCGGAAGGCAAGACTTAGGTATTGCTTTTACGGCGACAACGTTGGCATCAACAATTGTTAAGTTTTCTCTTAATTTGTTTGATAAGAACTACTTGTGATAGATCATTGATATTTTGTATGAAGTTGCATTACTATCAGTACATATCAGATTGACGACTATGTTGAGGCCCTTCCCCCTAAGTCATGGTCCAGTGACTTTCAATTAATTAGCCATTTTCAATGTTAAGTTTTCTGCTTATGTTAGTTTGATGGGAACTATTTACAATAGACAACAATATTTTCTATTAAGTTACATTCTTGTCTGTACATCTAAGTTTGTTGACCATTTCCAGGCCCTGCCTACTAGTTCATGGTCCAGCGACTTTTAATGAAAGGTGAAACAAATCTCTGTGACAACAGTTTATTATTTGTCAATTCTTGTGTGAGTAATTGGACTTTGATTAAAAATAAAATGATTGTAATGCCTTGTTAATACAACTCGTCTGAGGCTGTTAGTCTTGAAGCTTTCATACTCAGAATGGTCATGATGGTTATGTCCATGTTTTGTTAAAAGATATGTCAGGGATATTCATTTTGGGGTAAAGATTGCAATCTTCCAAGGTTTATCACTACCTTTCATAGTTCAAACAACATAGTGCAGTGAGGTGATCTTTGTTTAGATCCTATCCAATCAATGTCAAGCAATTTATTAAAGATATGTTATACTCAGATTCAAGTTACAATATGATGTGTATTTGAATTACCATACTTTTCTTTATTAAGCATGTTAAAATTTACATAAGTAATGCGTGGTGTACAATGATGTATGAATCTGTGATAAAGATAGGTTCAACTACAAATGTACAATCATGAATTGAGAAAGATAACTCCAACTAAAATTTATAATTTATCTAGCTAAACACAATTCAATGCTTTGTTTTAAATTCACTAAATTGCAAAATGAAAGCAATCTTTACCCGTCAGTGCTCACAAGCACTTTGATTAAAGAATGAAAACAACACGTTATAAGTTTAATGCGTCTGAAGCGCTTTAAAGGTATTGTTGTTATTTTCAAACTTCATTAACTTAAATACAGTTGCATTGTACATTGGACAATTTCTCCTTACATTCTCTCCATATCTTTCCCCCATACACCTTCAATCAGTTGTCATTTTTTGCAGATGTTCAACCTTTGCACAGGTGTTATACAAAATAAAATGATAATATTACAGAAAATATGCAATATTCTGCATGAAATTTATCATTCTAACAAATTTGAAATGGAGAACTTAAAGAGACTACTATAGATTCTTTTACATTTCTCAACGTCTTCTTGGTACTATCTGAATTGATAAAAAAAATGTATGAGATAATCATTGCGTATTTATAAAAGAACCTCTTATTGTCAGAAGATAATTTAACCCCTGTGGCTTATTACAAATAAATAGAACATTAACTCATATTCTGTTACATGTACATAGCAATCTACACCAAATATGAAATCAATTTTTCTGTTGATTTGTCATTTTAGGATCTTAAGTATTCTGTATATTTTTTAAAGTGTACATCAAAACGTTGTGATTAGTTAAAAACATCCAAAACCATTGATATCCAATTAATGACATAACATGATTTTCAGTATTGTGAACAAACAATAATATTTCCCACAGTCCTGTAGATTTTGAAAAGGTGCAGTCAGTTGTTGGTTTGTCTGTTTAATCATCCTAATTTCATATTTGTATTGTTTCTTCAACCAGTGATTAGATTTCAATGGAACATTCAGAGAATCATAGAGACTTAAACTTGTATACTGCAATAGCATACAGTCTTTAGTACTTAGTATATATAAGTCCTAAAGAGGTAAATTCATTTCAGTAAACCTTTCATAAAATCTCCAGTGCCAAATGTCATTGCAGTTAAGGAAATGTGTAATTGTTCCCTGCAGCTCCCTCCACAGGGGAATAATAGTCTTCTGTATGTCCATCAAAATCACAACAATACTTAAGAGTCTGTTTGTCAGAAAGCTTTCATACTTGGTAGGATCATTTGTCATTAATATGCTCTTGTTCATATTTATCCAAATTGTATACAGAAACCTCTCATACATGGTATAATTTTTTATCATCATGCATAGTGACCATACTTTACAGCCAATTTGATGTGACAGGGTACATTCTGTCCATATATTTCCCCCTACACCTTTAATCAGTTGTCATTCTTTGTGGATGTTCAACCTTTGCACAGGTGTTATACAAAATAAAATGATAATATTATCTAGAAGTATGCAATATTCTGCATGAAATTTATCATTCTAACAAATTTGTGACTAATCATAATTTATTGATTTTATTCTTAGAATTACTTAGGTGATTTTCTTTAGCAAATCATTTGCACACTACAGTTCACATTTACATCCATCCCTTCTCCCCCTAAACCCCTAATCCCCTAATCAGAATTTGTTGAAATTATCTCAGAATCTTTACAATACAATTGCAATTGTGCACCTGCTATCTTGTTTTTAATCTCAAGTTATTTTTTGGAAAAGGGGGAAGGGGGGGGGGGGGGGGGGGGGGGGGGGGGGGTGATTTCAATTATCAAAGCATAGACTTTGCAAGGGGCACAATATAATTTTGTGAGCTTTGCTAGCAGTTCTTGCAGTTTTGTTTTTTCTGTCAGAATCATTTTCAAGGTTTTCTACAGAAAATCATGTGCACACTTCAGTACACATTTATATCCCCTTCCCCTCATCAGAAGTTTATTAAATTTTCTCAGAATCTTCATAATATAATGCCATTGCGCACCTCTAAATATTTTTATCTCAATTATTTTAAGGTTTCCTATACAAAACCATGGACTTTGCAAGGTATGTGTGGAATGATATAGCCCTTCAAGTTTTTTTTAAAACTTCCTAATCTAAATACAATTACATTGTTTGTTTGGTATTTTCTCTGTATATTTTCTCCATATCTTTTCTCCTTACACCTTTAATCAGTTGTCATTCTTTGTGGATGTTCAACCTTTGCACGGGTGTTATACCAAATAGAATGATGATATTATCTAAAAATATGCAATATTATGCATGAAATTTATCACTCAAACAGATGAAATGGAGAACTTAAAGAGGCTACGACAAAATCTTTTACTTCTTGGTACGACCTAACTTTATCAAAAAAGGTAGGAGATAGTCATTGTATCTGTAGACAAGTACCTCTTGTATTGTCTTTAGATTATGTAACTCTTGTTGTGGAAAGCCAGAGTTTGCGAAAATCGTCGGTCCTGGAGGCCAAAATGAGGCTCAAGCCGGTATTTTGATCGCTAGCGGCTGTCCCGATGACCGATGCAAAAACAGCCGTTGGAGTGCCTATGTCGGCACTTTTTTTACATCAGTCATCAGATGTACCCGCAGCTAATTTAAAGTACGTTTTTTACATCGGTCATCAGATGTACCTGCGGCTAATTTCTGGTACTGGTTTCTGAATTTTATTATAAACAAACTAAAGCGACAAGCTACATGTGGCCTATCAAATTTGTTCACAGAGCTGTCCCTGGCAATTGTTATTAATTTTATTTCAGGATAAAATTGACAGATTTTGTAGGACTGACATATAATCTTGCTTTGTCAGTCCCATGACTGACAGGTCAAAAAAAGTGTTCGCGAACTCTGGAAAGCTAATGAAAAGAAAATTAAATCATATTCTGTTCCACATGCTACATAGGGATCTATAGCAATTATGCAATCAGATTTTCTTTTGATATAGCAATCTAAAATTTATAGCATTCTTGTTATTGTTATTAAAAAAGTGTACCCCAAAATGTAGTGATTGGCAATTATGTAATCAGATTTTCCGTTGATATGGTATTTTAGAATCTTAAGGTTTTTTTTTAAATTGTACATCAAAAGGTTGTGATAGGTTAAAAACGTCCAAAGCCATGGATATCAAATTGATGACCCAACATTATTTACAGTTTTGTGAACACACATTTAAATTTCTCACAGCCCTGTATATTCTGATAAGGTGCAGTAAGATTTTGGTTTATCTGTATTAACATCTCCATTTCATGTTTGTATGGTCACTTTGACCAGTGATTGGTAATCAAGAATGATGGCCAGCTATGAATTATCTTTTTTATGTTAATAACATGGAGAAAAGTTGATGGAAATTTGATATGATGTGTAAAAAATGGTGTATGTTATGTGCTTTTATTATTTCAGATTTCACAACAAGAGTTACAAGTTATAGAAAGAGATGTAATACAGAAAACAGTGTTTGGATTAAAGTCAGAAGGCAGGACATATAAAGGTAAATTAGTGTGTGTGTAGAGAGATACAAGAAAAATAGGTCAGATGTACATGTAACAAATTCTAGTTACTGATTCAATACCACAAATTCATAGAATTCTTATAGGTTCTGCTGATCTTAAAGTTGAGCTTTTTAAGTTATGGTCATTTATTTTAGACAGGCAACAGACTATAATTAGGTCAATATGTGTTATTCATTTAATTTAGGAAGAAATAGGTACATTTTCATCAATACTTCTGTCCATGGTGTGAAATGGGGAACTGATAATATGTAATAGAAAAATATCACTGGTGGTCCCAAAGATGTCTACTGAGTACTCGTAATGAAAAAAAACCCCATTATTTTCATACTATAAAATTATTTTTTAAACTCTTAAATTAGAACATCTTCATTCTATGATCCTCTACATTCTAAAATATAACTTAAACAATGATTAAGTTTAGTCAATTCTGTAAAAAAAGCAACCTGTCCATTAACATGACTGGGTGATTTTTTTGTCTCGCCTACGATGAAAGTCACGGAAAGAGAGACATAGGGATTGCTTTTCCGGTGATGGCGTCAACAATTGTTAAGTTTTCTGCTTAAGTTAGTTTGAAAGGAACTACTTGTGATAGATCATTGATATTTAATATAAAGTTGCATTATTATCTGACAGTAAATATCAGTTTGACGACTATTTTGAGGCCCTGCCCCCTAAGTCATGGTCCAGTGACTTTGAATTAATTAGCAATTTTTAATGTTAAGTTTTCTGCTTAAGTTAGTTTGATAGGATCTTCTTGTGATAGATCAATGATATTTTGTATGAAGTTGCATTACTATCAGTTCATATCAATTTGACTACTATTTTGAGGCCCTGCCCCCTAGGTCATGCTCCAGTGACTTTGAATTAGTTAGCAATTTTCATTGTTAATTTTCTGCTTAAGTCAGTTTGATAGGATCTACTTGTGATAGATTAATGATATTTTGTATGAAGTTGCATTACTATCAGTAATTATCAGTTTGACTACTATTTTGAGGCCCTGCCCCCTAGGTCATGCTCCAGTGACTTTGAATTGATTAGCAATTTTCAATGTTAAGTTTTCTGCTGAAGTCAGTTTGATAAGAACTACTTGTGATAGATCAGTGATATTTTGTATAAAGTTACAGTGCTATCAGTGCATATCATTTCGACGATTATTTTCAGGCCCTAGATAATGTTCCAGCGAGTTAATAAACAAATCATATTGCTGTCCATTAGATTGTCTTTTTCTGAATTTTATGCCGACAGGTGAGACATATCTCTGTGCCAACAGTTTATCTAATTTTATTACAAATCATAATTGTGTCACTCACTTTGAAATACATTAGGGATAATGAAATGTATGGTTGATATAAAACAAACTTTGTATATATTTATAGGGGCACTGTATGCAGGATTGATGTTAACACAAGATGGACCAAAAGTTTTAGAATTTAATTGTAGATTTGGAGATCCTGAAACACAGGTACAAAAATGAAAAAAAAATACTCTTGTTTTTCTGCTTCTGTTTCTGGTAATGGTCAAATGCAAATATGATTGTTGTGAATGTATAAGAATTTCTCAGAATATGACAAATTGCTTGCTAAGGTAAAAGTATATTTTTCTTAGACATGGTGTAAAAGTTTACTGACAGAGAAAAGAAAGGATATTGCTGTTGTGCACTTAATCCTTTTTTGGAAGGTCCACAAAAGGATTAAGGTTTATGAAGTTGAGCTCACTGCCAATCCTCTTGTGAAATGCAATTTTGTGCAGCATAACTTAGTTCTTTATCCCCATCCTTTAATTTTTGAAGGAAAACTTCCGGCAATATAGCTTTTAGATTCATCCAATGGAAGACATTACTTCCCAATAATTTGGTTAAGATTCAAAATGTTCAAAGTTTGCTTTAAAACATATTTGACACTTAACTTTAAAAAAAAAAGTGATTTTAATCTTATTTGAGACAACTATCTACCAGAGTGCATATGAGGTGGATGTATGCCACTATAGGTCACTGTACTACATTAAACTATGAGCAAAACCCATACGGTATAGTCAGCTATAAGAAGACCAGACATGACAAAATGTGACACAATTCAAATAGGAAAACCAACGGCCTGATTTATGACAAAACAATTAACAAAAACAAATATGATAGACAGCAACCAACAACAACCAATGAATTACAGGATCTTGACTAGGGACAGAATGAAGAATGTTGCAGAATTAAACATGTTAGTAGGCACTCAACCCTCCCTATCTTTGGACAGTGTTGAAAGAGCACAATATAAGAACAAGCTTTAAAAATCAGCATATTCTTCAAATAAAAAGATAGTTGTAATGAGAAGTTACTGTAATATTGCCTGGACTTTTACAGTTACACATGCATTTTTTAGCTCGACTGGCCCAAAGGGCCAAGTGAGCTTTTCTCATCACTTGTCGTCCGTTAACTTTTACAAAAATCTTCTCCTCTGAAACTACTAGACCAAATTTGGGGTATCTACTTTAAAAAATGTGTCCGATGACCCCATCTGCCAACAAAGATGGCTGACATGGCTAAAAATAGAACATATTTATTTTGAAAACATAATTATTTTGAAAACCATTATAAATAGAGAGAATCTGACAGGGCAAAAATGTTCAGAATGTTGAGCTCTACCAATCGTTCTTTGACGTCAACAAACTCAGGTGATTTCTTATAGGAGTTATTGCCTTAAATGACAAATTTTACCATTTTGTTTAATATTTACCTTTTATCTTGAAAACTATAATAGATCGAGAGAAACTTTAAGTTGGCAAAGGGATCATGAAGACAAGATCTACAAATAAGTCTGCATGGTCGAAATCGTCAGTTGACTCTTAATTAGAGTTATTGCCCTTTGATGATGATTTTTACCAATTTTTTGCGTTTTTTCCTTATATTTTAAAAATGATTATAGATAGATAGATACTTAAACAAGCAAAAATTATTAGCAAGACAAGATCTACATTAAAACAAATGGAGGAAATTTTCTGATGACTCCTTATTGGAGTTATTGCCCTTTAACAAAAATGATCAGAAAGGCAAGATCCACAAACAAGTCAAATTTTGCCAATATAGGTAGTAGACTGTCACTCTTCTTAGGAGTGATTGCCCTTAAATGAGGATTTTTTTACCCTCTTTTGTGTTTTGGGCAAAAACTAAAGAAGATAGAGAGGAACTAAACAGACAAAATGATCAGCTATATAAGATCAACAAAAAAGATTTTTTTTTCATGAATTCTAGTCTTATTTACAATGTTGGAGAGAGTCCATTGTTGATTATGCATATAGACCTAGGTGAGCGACACAGGTTCTTTAGAGCCTCTTGTTATGTTATTTGAGTTGCTGTAATACAAATGTTGTCTTTTAATTTATGCCCTCTTTGCATTTATATCTAAATATTTGATGTGTAGTTTCATAACAATGAGTTACTCATTGATATTGGGTTGCATTCAAGTTAACCTTTTTTATAGAAATAATGTTGCCATTAGATTTTAAAATTTTTATTAGAATTGTACAAACTTGTATTAAGCAGCTCCTGCAGATATGATATTCCAATAATATTTGCTGTGTTTATTTTTATATACTGATGAGTTTCAGAGGTTTGTGTTTCTTTCCAGTTGTTCTACTTTTGACAAAATATGACCTTTGGATTATAATAATGTACTGTCTACACAATATGTATTGCTGTGACTTACAATAATCAGATGATTTTTAATACTGTATTCTGATAAAAAGAATAACAACAAAGTCTGCATGTTTGTAGTGGCTGATTTTGATTTGTAGTGTGGATTTATAATTATTCGTGGGATACCAAACGTAAAGCATTTCATAGGTAAAGGTAAACCACAAATTTAAATTTTCAACAAATTATCTCTGGCTCAGAATAGAAAACAAGATAAATAATAATTTATTTTTGGCCGAAAATTATTGTACAAGTTCGTTTAACAAATAATTAATAAACATACATGAAAAATAGAGTATACAAAATTGCGGGCCCTACAAAATTAACCCCCACAAGTTAAATATGTAAAACAAAAACAAAAAATAACTAACTAGTACAATAATTAAAAGTTAGGGATGGGTGGGAGGGTAACTTATCGAAAATATATTTAATAATGAATACGAAATATCTTAAAAGTACTCACTGAACAGGTACTATTGATAGTAACTGTTGAATGAAACGAACTTTGCATATAATTATGCGTTTTCAGAATTAAAAACTGTATAAGTATGAATATTCTATAGGATTGGAACATTAGTGCAGACTTTAGTAAATCAAAAATATCAAATATTCAGGAAAATACAATTTTTTCTCAATCCACGAAAGTTGGTTCTCACAAAAAATAATTAAATCCACAGTATCTGTGATAGAAAGTTGTGAAAGGTTTATTTTTATTATGTCAACATTTCTACTCTATTTCTATGTACTGTTTCTGTATTGAATTTCAGACCATACTTCCTTTGTTGGAATCTGATTTGTATGATGTGTGCAAGTCTTGTGTTGATGGGACATTAAAACAACACCCACCTGTATTTTCACAAGATAAACATGTGGCTGGAGTTGTTCTTGTTAGTGGTGGATATCCTGGATCTTATCCTAAAGGGTTAGCAATCACAGGTATGTTAAATTAAGGTCAGTCTGATTAAAATACTGATCATGTATTCATGCTTACAAGGATCTGACAACACTCTGTTCTAGTAATTATAACAGTATAAAAGTAAGGAGATGTGGTATGATTGCCAATGAGACAACTATCCACCAAAGTTCAAATGAAGTGGATGTAAGCAATTATAGGCAACTGTACGGCCTTCAACAATGAGAAAAACCCATACCATATGGTCGGCTATAAAAGGCCTTGACATGAAAATATGAAACAATTTAATTGAGAAAACTAACGGCCTAATTTATAACAAAACAATTTACCTAAAACAAATATGACAGACATGAACCAACGACAACCACTAAATTACAGGCTCCTGACTTGGGACAGGCACATCAGCCTTTTAGAAGGTGTGTATTATTATGACAAAACAAGAGTGTTCCAAAAGGTCTTCTTAACAGAATGTAAAACAGGACATTGTCAGATCCTTCTAAGCAAAGGGTGGACATAGGATCTCTACTTCAATCAGATTGCATCAGGACAAATAGATTTACACAAGGGCTGCATAATGAAGACCAACATTGACAGGATTTAAGTTTTATTGAAGCTTTTTGATTAGGTCATTTGATACTTTATTGTAGAAGACGGCCAGAAAAATATGAATGTTGCCTGCCTTGGACAGTTTCTCTCCTCTGTGGGAATCGATGTTTGACATATACTTCGTCTCCTGTCTTCAACTCCATCAGTAAAGATATAGTGTTAGAATTGTATTGTCTGCCTGGTGTAAATCCATAAGCAAAAAGAGCATTGTTTTTGTGTATCTGGAAGGTGACTCTGGAGGGTCCTACCCCATACAGAAGACAAGATATCTCATACAATCCTTGTTTTGGAGCGGTAAAACGTCCAGTGGTAGGGTTGTAGTGATTCCCTATGTTTGTTCTCACATCCTTAAATTTCAAAATGTCATTTCCGGTGAATAGAACACTAGCCTTTACAAATGCAAAGAAAGCTGGTCTGTCTTTCAACATATATGAAATATATATGTTATTTTGTTATTCAATGTATTTGTTTCCATAATTATGCAAAATGAGTAAAACTGGCTACTTTTAAAACTCTTGGATGTTATAGCTGAATTAAGTTTACATTACAAATTTGATTGCAGAACTCCTAGTTGTGTCTAATAGAAAACTAATTATAGAATAACTACATGTTTTCATGGAAAACTATTCAAAGAATGACCGAACAACACAATAATTCAAGAATGTTTGTAGGGCATGAGTTAATAGTCAGTGTTTTTTAAGTCATGAGTGGAATATTTAACTATATTTTAATTCTTAGATTAGTTTTTCTATTTATTACATTTCTTTTAAATATCGATAAAGTAGAAATGTAAGGGACTATATCTGTTTCTATGCATTCTCAATTCTTTTTGATGCTACTTGTATGTTATGACATGGTATAGGGTCGACATATTAGTTTATATTTAAACTTGTTAGGATATTTATAGGATCAATTAAACTAGTAATCATTCAAATTTGGCACTTAAGTACATTTTGTTCTCATCTGCATTTAAAGAAACTAGAATGGTTTTATTATAGTTTTTTTTTTATCATGGATATACATGAAATATTTGACATTAGACATTAAGCAAATAATAATAGTGATTGCTTATGGAGACTAATAAAGCTGATAGCTTCCTTTAATTCAGTGAAGTATACCGAATGACTTAAAACATGGGGTTATAATAGGTGAAGTTTTTGCATCTAGGTGTTTTTTCCTGTGAAAAGATAAAGGTTTAATTTTGATTCAGTCATCAAATGATTTCTCTATTTTATTACCAGAATTCAAGATGACCCGATAGTTACAATATGAGATTATGTATAAAAAATAATGAAATACCTTCAATTTTCTCCTGAATGACATCATCAATACTGCAAGCATTGCCTTTGGCTTGGTGACTCGCACTGACCACAAAAAGAATTAATATCAATTCGAACATTTTAGAAAATTTTATCAACTTATTGCAACATATGTTGTTAAAATAATGTTTTGTCCTAAGTATTTATAGTATAGCCTTGCAGAAAATAGATGCAGTTCATCTACCTGCTTTTTCCGTTTTATGTTATTGCACTTTTAAAACAGGAAAAAATATTTCCTTTAACAACCGTTTAAAGTAGTACATGTACAGATGCAATAAGTGTTCGTCACCTATGATGTTTTTTGCTGTATGTTTCATATATTATCACATATTTAAAAAAAAAAAAATTAAGGCATTAATGGTAATATTTAAACAAATCAAGTGTTTAAAGACACTGAACTGTCTGAAAGTAATTTTGTTTATTTGGTCATAAATGATATGTATAGCAACAAATTTTGATTTAAACTACTTATTGCTTAACACTATATATAAATAAAAGTATATGTATTGGTACATGTCAAGGAGACGGTTATCCCAAAACACAACTTTTTTTTTCAAAATAGATTTCTAGAGGTCAACATATGACCTAGAATGAACATAGACCTACCATGTATGACAAGCTCTATATCAATTAAGAATTCACATTATTTTGGACTTGTGTGAAGACACATTGGTTTCCGGACAATAACTTTAGTTTAAGCGAATGGATCTCTATGAAATTTTTAAAGAAGGTTCAATACCACAAAAGGAAGGTTGGGATTGATTTTGGGGATGATGGTCCCAACCGTTTAGGAATTAGGGGCCCAAAAGGGGCCCCAAACAAGCCTTTTTCTAGTTTCAGGATAATAACTTGTGTATAAGTATTTGGATTGCTCTGAAATTGTACCACAATGTTTAATACCACAAGCAGAAGGCTGTGATTCATTTTAGGGGTTATGGGGCTAACAGCTTAGGAATTAAGGGCCAAAAAGGGGCCAAAAACAAGCATTTTTCTAGTTTCCAGACAATAACTTGTGTGTAAGTCTATGGATCTCTCTGACATTGTACCACAAGGTTCCATATAACAAAGGGAAGGCTGTGATTGAGTTTGGGGTTAATTGCCCCAAACATGTAGGAATTAGGGGCCAAAAAAGGGCCAAAAACAAGCATTTTTCTAGTTTCCAGACAATAACTTGTGTTTAAATGTATGGATCTCTCTGAAATTGTACTACAATGTTCCAAACTACAAAGGAAAGGCTGGGATTGAGTTTTTGGGTTATTGCTCCAAGGGGGGTTTCAAAAAGATGGGGGTTATTTTTTTTTTCCAATTATTTTAAGGGATTCATATTTTTTTCAAAATTTTTCAAATTTTGAATTTTTGAAAAGTTTTAAGAAGAAATCTTCAATTGCACAGTATTTTGCAATAGATTTGTAAGATCTTTGACCACATTTATTTTGTGTCAGAAACCTACCGGTATATTATGTCAAAAATTTGATCACAATCCAAATTCAGACAGTATCAAGCTTGAATATTGTGTCCAAATTTACCCAAACTGTTCAGGTTTCGACCTCTGGGGTCGTTTCAGGTTACGCTCAGCGAAGCATTTTATTTCTCTTTAAAGAAGACTTTCATTATGAATAAAAGTAGATTTAATAGAGGGAAAAAATTGTGAATCTGTTTGAGACTTCCAATATATGTATACATTTTTAAACTATTAGGTATAGATGTTGTTGAGAAAACTGGTTTACAGATATTCCATGCTGGTACCAGTTTGAAAGATGGCACTACAGTAACAAGTGGTGGACGAGTGTTGGCAGTGATTGCTGTTGACAGATCCTTGAAAACGGCTTGTGAGAGGGCCACAGATGGGGCCAAGTTTATACAGTTTCAGAACAGTTTTTACAGAAGTGATATTGGATTTAGGTTACTTACTAGGTACATATAAGTAGTCTCACCACATAAATTTAAGAAATGTTTTACATACCCTTATGGCAATGCTCAGTTGTTATTGATAACACTTATGTTTTTTATTGAAATAGCTGATGAATAATTTTTAAACCAGCGTGTTTTGAATATTCTCTTAAACCCTCCTTTTTCATTGCTTCTATTTACACTGTGGTATAGCATTGGGCTTTAAATATTAAATGTGAATAAAAACAAATTGTGAATATCTTTGGCTTATTTGTGTCGACTGGTTTCAAGGTATCTTTGATTTGTTATTTAAAATATGTTTAAATTCATCAGCTTATATAGATTGAGTCAGAAATGTAATCTGTGTAGAATTTTTTTTTCAGAAATCGTTTACAAGTCCAGATGACATACAGTGATGCAGGAGTAAGCATAGAAACTGGTAATAGTTTAGTTCAGGCCATTAAACCTCTGGCTAAGTCAACCACACGGCCAGGATGTGATGCCCTGTTGGGAGGATTTGGTGCTTTGTTTGATCTGAAGGCTGCAGGATTTGTGGACCCAGTTTTGGTGTCAGGAACTGATGGGGTTGGCACAAAATTGAAAGTATGTGTTACATTTAACATGCCTTGGTCATTCTGTTTAGTACTTGGATTAAGCTTAATATATTGTAATAGGTTTGTTATTTAAATCAAATATTTGATTCCAAATGTATTTATGAAATAAATTATATTTCTAGCTTTACTAAATGATTAGTTTGATTTATTGTACTCCACTGCTGTTATACAACAATGGGTGATGTCAATGCAGTGCATCAAAACCGTGAGAAAGGGTAGAAATAGATATAGTTTCTTGTATTTACTACTTAATTTACATCAAACATCAATGTGATAAAAAAAAAATAATCCAAGAATTCTAATATAAAAAAATAGTATGTAAGGGAACGTCACTGATCATTATACTCATTCTCTACAAGCATTCATAAATAGATGTTTAGTTGGATCAGTCATTGAATGTTGAATATTTTTGAACATAAATGAGCTGTTTCGGATAGAAGTTGACCTTATGCAAATAAATATCAATACTATTTCAGGTTGAAAATGTCTCTACGGAATCTATAAGTGCTGTTGCAGAAGGTTGATTTTTATCCGACGCAGCTCATACATTAGTATACCCCTAGCAAAAGAAGTTTGAGGGGGTGAAACACTCATCTGTCTGTCCCATTCAGAACTTAAACACCTTGAAGGTTATTAATGATGCCACAATAGAGTTTGTTTTCATTTGCTGCCAACCATACTGTATTGAAGAGTTTGTTGTGAATAAATAAAAGGGATATGGATGCCATGAGACATATTCATGATTGCCTTCTCTTTATGTACAATTTCGATCTGCTAACATGGCCACTGTTATAATAAATAGAACATAGCATATAAATTAATCACAAGAATGCCACATTCTGTTGTTAAAAAAATGAATTATGAATTATGATTTATCACTTTGATTACAGATAGCACAGGAAGTTGGTCGCCACGACACTATAGGGATTGACCTTGTTGCTATGTGTGTAAATGACATACTGGCCCATGGTGCTGAACCATTGTTCTTCCTTGATTACTTCTCCACTGGTCAACTTAGTGTTTCCATGGCAACAGATGTCATTGCAGGCATCACTAAAGGATGTAAAGAAGCTGGATGTGCCCTTGCAGGTATGAAGTATTCTTACCTCTTCTTTATAAGATGACCTGGACTGATGGGCCATGTGAGCTATTTCCATCACTTTGCTTCTACTGTTGTCAGTCTGTCTATTGTCACAAACTTTTAAACAAATTATTTTGCTCTGAAATATATAATACATAATGTTACCAAACTTGACCAGAATGTTCCTTAGGGAACAATATATCCGGGGATTTCACCAATCATCAAACATGACTGCTGTTGCTAAAAATAGAACATAAGTTTTTTTTTTTTTCAAAAACTAAAGCAGTATGAGCAAAACTAATCTAAGATATCTAGCATAAAGTTAGTGTTTTTTGCTCATTCAAATTTACCAACATGACCACTGTGGCTAAAAATTTATAATAAGGGTGATATGCTTTAATTGTCTAATATCTTGAAAACCTTAATAGATATAGAAAATCTAACAAAGTAAAAATGCTCAGAATGTTAAGATATACCTACTTCAAGTTTCCACCAAATTATCGCACAACTTGACATTTGATTTAAGTTGATGTTGTTTTGTTAATTTTGAGTACATTCCAATAAAAGTTACTGTCATGAAAATGTATGACTGGATAGAAAGTAGCATTACACCTCATCAATGAAGTTTGTTTCAAATATTTTTATACAACAGTGTCTCCTTATATTCCTCCTTTCAAAGATAAAATTCAAAATTGGGAAATCATTTAAATTTAAAATATTTCTATATAAGACAGAATGCTGCCAAATTTTATACATTTAAAATTGTGCTTCAAAAAGTAAATAGCAATATAATATCTACAACACTTACCAGTTCTCTGCATTTTGCCACTGACATGTAACATGTACATATATATTAACAGAAGGCAGTAGGAGGGGGTGTCATCCTGAATTCCCGAAAAAAAAAGCATTCCTTCCCAGATCCTGGAAAATGAATCATTTATTCCTGAGTGCCGTTAAGGGTTTGTCCTGAATTCCCACAAAATAAAAGGCATTATCCTGATGTCCCCTCTTTAGAATGTATCAATATTAGGACAAGTTTATGTACCGGTAAATTATAACAAAGGTTAAAACTATTTGAGTAGAGATATTTTTTAAGCATTTTGATGAAGATTTGTAACTACAAGACTGTTTATTTTTAATGAAATATAAAATATAACTTTGAAATTAATGCTTTATTATATGCTTACTATATGTAGTAAATACAAGTAAATTGTATGTGCACTACAATCAGTGACTGTTGTTCTGTATCAGCCATCCATGCATATGAGGATATAGATATCAGCCAAGCTTTCAAAAGATTAATCAAACCTCTAATCTGTATTATGTCATGTAACATGAAAACATTTATTATATGATATGGGTTTTTATACGCCTGTTTACGGGAAGTATTATGGTATACCATTGAGCTCCCTTTCGTTTTTTTATAAATTTCAGATTTACCGTTTCCGAGTTTTGGGGTTTTATTCATTAAAAGGGGGGATTTTCCAGTTTTCCGACAATAACTCAAGAATGCTTTCACCAACTTGCAAGAAATTTTGGTGAATTGTTTATATCTATTGACATGAGCTCCCTTTTGGATTTTTTAAATTTTAGATTTAACGAGCTACAGGGTTTTATTCATAAAAAAAGGGGGATTTTCCAGTTTTCGGACAATAACTAAAAAATGCTTTCAGCAGTTCTCATGAAACTTTGGTGAATTGTTTATAGCTATTGATGTAATCTCCCTATTGATTTTCATAAATTTCGAATATGACATTGAGAAGAAATTGAACTTTATTTGTTTATAGTCTGACAACAGATTTACTAAGTAATGCGCAACAGCACAGTGTATTGCACAACAGCAAGAAATCTTTAATTGAATATAAATTCAATTCATATAACCAATTTCAAGTTCTTTGACTACATTTATTCAGAAACCTATAATATGTCAAATATTTAATTACAATCCAAATTCAGACCTGTATCAAGCTTGAATATTGTGTCCATTTTTGCCCCAACTGTTCAGGGTTGGACCTCTGCGGGTGTATCCAGCTGCGCTCAGCGAAGCAGTTTATTCAGTATCACACACTGTATCAACCCTTTAGCAATGTTATACCTTACAGCTCTTTTCATAATGCTAGCAAGACAAAGGTTTGTTTGACTTGCTTGCTTTGTTTGTATAAATGTTTGCTCAAGCATTGTAATTAAGACTGACATCTGCAAACAATATAAGCAGGCAGAGTTAAACCTGTGTATAAGTAAATTTGATTATTTGATAATGTCCAATCAAATTTAAATATAATGTATACAAGTTTAAATCCGCCTTTTTATGTTGTTTTCAGATGTCAATCTTAATTACAATGCTTGAGCAAACACTGATACAAACAAAGCAAGCAAGCCAAACAAACCTTTGTTTTGCTAGCATTATGTAAAGAGCTGTAAGCAGAGCTCTTGGGATTATATTGGTGTCTAGGGTTGATACAGATGTTATATTGAAAAAGCCATATAATATTCTCTATATATTGCATCTATCATATGCATTCTGTAGCTGTATGCAATTTTTTTGTCAGGTGGAGAGACCGCTGAAATGCCTGGAATGTACACAGGAAGTGAATATGATCTTGCAGGATTTGCTGTTGGAGCAGTTGAAAGGACTTGCATTATACCACGTCTTGATCAGATTGAGGCTGGAGATACTTTGATAGGATTACCTTCCAGTGGTCTCCATAGTAATGGGTTCAGTCTAGTGCGGAAGGTTATAAATAAACTGGAGATGACCTACGACATGCCCTGTCCTTTTCAAAGAGGAACTACATTAGGTATGTCGTCTTTACATGATTTTGACACCAAAAAAATTTCCAGCCTTCAGCTTTGCTTTTACTTTAAATTTAACCTTATTACAGTTAATATTTTAATAGTGTGTTGTTAAAATATAAAGAAAAACTCTTTCCTTAACATATTTTATTAATCCATAAATTGATCTTTTTTGTCCTAAGACTTTGTAATGAATTATGACATTAAAATAATTATTTTTTTGTTTAGAATTTTGTGATGTATTTTTAGATTTTTTTTTACAGGTGATGTATTACTTACTCCTACCAAAATATATGTTAACGAGTTGTTACCCCTGATGAAGGAAATGAAGGTCAATGCATTTGCTCACATCACAGGAGGTGGACTTGTAGAAAATGTGGCTAGAATTTTACCATCTGACTTAGCAGCATCTATAGATGCTAACAAATGGAATATCCCTGCTGTATTTGGTTGGCTTGCTGATAAGGTAGGTAATACAAATGGTTCAGTATTCACATTTATTTTCATTTGTAAAATAAGATTATGTGAATAAGTTATTGTTTGATAATTAAAAGAATTTGATATGATTTCTGTGTGCATAACACATATTCCTGCAATAAACCTGAATGCTTATAACTGTATACATTTACATGAAATGAATATACATAGACAGTTTAAATGTATGTAAATGTATACAGCAATATGATTTTGAAGAGGGGTTTAATTCTTGCTTTGGCATTTGTAATGCTATTGTCTGAATAAATTGTAAAAAATTTTGGAATGTGATAGGATGTGCAGACAATACACACAAATACTTTCAAATTTTATTATTATTTTTTATGCAAATATGCAATTTATGTATGAAAAACTCATTCTGCAGAATATCATGACTTATTAAAAAGTGAATAATCAATGTAGAAGAAAAAAAACATACAAAACTGAATGTCCTGTTGCAAAATGGAAGTCACAGTACACCGAGAGATTGAAGGCACATTTCATAAAGGACACTGTTTACATAGATTGCTACTGGTTTATTAAAAAGCAGGGAACATTCATATCTCATAAACTTGTTATTGTCTTAAACATATGCATGTGATTTTGCCAGTGAGTGAATTTTAGCAGTCATTTATCAATCAAATTACTGCCAAAATGAGTAATAGCAATAAAATAAAAATGTGGTTATTCTGTAATATGCTTTTGGAATATTGTTTTGTGTATATCTACCATATATTTCTTTTAAATTGATTGTACATGAAAATGGTTATTTCAGATGCTATCATAAAACTTTCCAAATTTGTATGTCAAATTGTATGTGAAGTTTCCATCAGATGTTAAGCATTAACATTTTACATTCAAATGATCTGGACAATTTTATGATAATGTTCTAATGAAAATATTTCTATATATTTAGGGTAATATAAATGCCAGAGAAATGAGTCATACCTTCAACTGTGGTATTGGTGGTGTGTTAGTTGTAAAGTCAGATGAATCTAAAGGTGTTTTAAATAGTCTTATAAGCAGTGGAGTCCAGGCCACTATAATTGGGGAAATTGTCAGTAAAGAAGGTAAGCTTATTTTTATTTATAACTTTTATTTTATTGAGTCAAACCAAATATGATTGAGTCAGTTGTCAATTGTGATAATAGTGGAGGGGGGGTGATAATTATTATCCCTTTTTTTTCCCCGCACATCTCATTTCAGGGTACATAGAAATACCGGCTGTCCATGTGTCCGGCCGTCCAGTCTTGTTAGTGCTCTCACTTGTACAACTTTTGCCAGATTTTTATAAAACTTATATCGTAGGTTTATATCAGCAATGAGTTTGAAAATCAGTGCCGATCAATTATTTTTTAAAGAGTTATGCCCCTTAGAAATATCAATAACATGGAAAATTGCATTGTTAGCACTCTCATGTGTACAATTCTTGCCAGATTTTTATGAAACTTATATTGTAGGTTTATATTAGCAATATCTCGGACATGTTCGAAAATCAGTGCCGATCAATTGTTTTCAAAAGAGTTCTGCTCCTTAGAAATATTAATTATATGGAAACTTGCATTGTAAGCGCTCTCACATGTACAATATTTGCCTGATTTTTATCAAATTCATATCAAAGGTTAATATCAGCAATGTGTCAATTTCAAAAAAAATTGCTGATCAAATATTTTCAATTAGTTATGCCCTTGGAAATATTAAATATATCAGAAATTGCTCTCAAGTCTTCAACTGCTAACTTAATTTTAAAAAGTTTTAAAAGACAAAACAACACATTTTTTTTTAATTATTGACCTTGGACAGATAAAATATGTGTAATGGTCCGAGTACACAGTTATTTCGTAGTGCATTTCTTTTAGACAATAAATGAAAATTAAAAAAATCCCACCTGCGCTTTCTCAATAATATTTTTACAGTGTGTTGTACTACTTTTGGGACAAATTATATCAAAATTATAGAAAACTTCATCGGCTCTAACTCAAAATATGGACAATTTCATGCTAAGGGGGTCTTCAAATCTTTTGACAGCCTCCGAAGTGCTAATTTTTAACATTTTTCAACTGGACCAAATCACTACATTACTTTAAAATTCATGACCCAAATTTTTTTACAGTGTCATTTCACCCCCCTACTTACTATTTGAGTCATAAAACATGGAGAAATAAATTCGGAAGGGGTATATAAAAAATCGACAAGTAACACACTGTCCACACTAGGGACTATATTTGTGGACAACGAAAATCAAAGGACGATAACTGTGTACCCGGACCTAATAGGGTAGAAAAAGTTGACCAATCTTAATGAAACTTGGTATGACCAAAGCTTATTAAATTATAAGACTGCGTACAAAGTTTCATGGCAATAGGATATATATTATAGACAATATGACTAATTCTATATTCAACTATGAGTGTTAAATTTAGACGTTAAAATTGAAAATTTTCAACTATCAACATTTGGGGCTTAAAAAATTAAAATATTGCAAAAAAATACTTTTGAAATGCCTTAATATATAATATATTATGTATTAAAAGCAATAGAGTACTCATTTGATTTATCAGACTTATTATAATTATTAAAAAGTCAAATTTATATGAGCCTGTGGCTAAAAATGGAGGTTTTCCAATGAAGGGGGGCCTTACATGAAGATGTAATATTTTCCAGCAATTTTAAATTTGTAAAGCTTTTTGGTTATAAATAATCCTTACATATGTATTTAATGTACTTTAAATGGAAAGAAAACTTACAAATAACATATCACATTAGTTTAAAAGGGTCTTAGGCCAAGTAAGACTGAAAATAATTTAGGGTCAATTTAGGCCGTATCACATATTTACATTTAAAAATGCATATTGAAGCTATATGAAATAAAATTTTGTGTCTTTTCTATCATTTCTATACTCAGGTGACATGATATAATAAATCTGAGCACAAAAAGACTCTTGCATTCAACTTTTTTTGCAGACAGTATGGTCTGATACAAAGATTTTTCACTTTTTAGTGAAAAACATGCATGCAATTTTAGTCTCAACAGGCTTATATTTGAACCACTTGCTATCCTACAGAAGAAAAGAAAGATATTATGTGACATAAAACAGGCACAAAAGACATTGTTAAGTGCTTTTTATACAAATTTAGTGAGGTCTTTATAATGGACTTCAACTTTTATGTTCCAAGCTCCTCACATTTAACTTGATCCAAACAGGGCGTTAGACGAGGACCATATATACAACACATTTTGCACATATTGTCTGAGATAATCTTCTTTTCTGTAGATTCAGAGTTCACAAATGAGTAATACAACTGGATTGAAGCATAGAAACACAAATATTGACACATAAAAACCTGTCAGATAGAAAAGTCAGAATGCCACTTATGCATCAAAATTGAAAAAGCTATGAAATGCTTATTTTGACCATAAAATGCCAAAATTGGTCATTTTTGCAGAAATTCTATCAAATAAAAGTTTAAATCCTTTAGTTTTATGCTATTTGATAAATTGACACCATCAAATCATTCAGGGAAGTTGCCAAAGTACAGATTCTATATTTCCAGATTTCACCTCTTAGGTCCGAGTACACAGTTATTTCGTAGTGCATTTCTTTTAGACAATAAATGAAAATTAAAAAAATCCCACCTGCGCTTTCTCAATAATATTTTTACAGTGTGTTGTACTACTTTTGGGACAAATTATATCAAAATTATAGAAAACTTCATCGGCTCTAACTCAAAATATGGACAATTTCATGCTAAGGGGGTCTTCAAATCTTTTGACAGCCTCCGAAGTGCTAATTTTTAACATTTTTCAGCTGGACCAAATCACTACTTTACTTTAAAATTCATGACCCAAATTTTTTTACAGTGTCATTTCACCCCCCTACTTACTATTTGAGTCATAAAACATGGAGAAATAAATTCGGAAGGGGTATAAAAAAAATCGACAAGTAACACACTGTCCACACTAGGGACTATATTTGTGGACAACGAAAATCAAAGGACGATAACTGTGTAGCCGGACCTAATGTGGGGGACATTGGAACTCTGTTCTTTTATTATAAAGTATCCTTGTCACCAGATTCACAGCTGTTAATCAACATTTGAATCAGATACTGGGGGATAGTGAAGGTTGTCTTGGTCAAGAAGGAAAAAAATAAAAAATCCCTAACATTGCCACCACCACTGGACGCATTGAAATATGGCACCCAAACATTTATCATTATGCGATTTAAGTTTTATTTTGAAGTAGAAATTGAGCAGATTGATCAGTTTATCTCATATTAGAAATACATTAGTAGAAAAGATACCAAGTAGTATTTTTAGGAAAATGACCCTATCAGCAGCATGTTTCCGATACCATTGACCAGAACTTACGGAAGTCGATTATTGCCCCGCCTACCGCACTCGGTTTCATATTTACTATTTTACGTACTAACTTGAATCTGCTTGTATTACGCTACACTCGAACAAAGTGTTGTAGTCGGACATGAACCAGTTTACATACTTTATTTAATTTACCAAAAAGATATCTTGACCTGTCCATATGTTTTTTGTTATTAAATGGTATTTGGAGCTATCCCTTTGTTATATTTTTCATATTTATTCGAGCTTTCACTTTTATGCACATGTCTTACACTTACAGTCGTAAACAATCGGTATGTATACATGATAAATAGATCCGTTTTGTTATGGTGTTGGACTTTTTACCCTCCAATGATCAGCAATCGCTAGACAAAATAGTTCTCCTAAATAATGTCAGCCTTTCATGCCATTTCAACTTTACAATCATTAAAAAAAAGTGAAAATCGGAATCATTTTGATATCCATTGGATAGAAACTGGTCTTTATCCAGATTTACGAAGATTTTAAAAATCGGAAATTAGTAATACGGTTATACCCACGCGGTGCATATGAATCTTTGTTTACAAAACAGGATTTCGGAACGTCTCTAGTTTTTAGATCGTAAGTCACGATAAACTCAAACTGAAAGTAAACAGTTGTTTGTAAGACGCAGGTTTACTCACCATAAACAAGCTGAAACGTTCAGTATGGTATATATTTTAGGTTAAAGACGGTCCCATTCATTTAAAAAGCATTTTGAAAGTGGACGATGGGATTATTTCAGGTTTGGGGAACGAGTAAATTATCACAAAGTTCATTTCTTGACGACCTCATAATTTCATCATGTTGATGGTACAAATCAATTTTTACTGTTTACTGTCGCTTCTCATGTTTTGTATTTAAACAGTTGTTTATTTTTAAACCCGAACCAGGCATATGCATTCTGTAATTGTGCAATTAGTTCTTTGGTCAATTGGCTTATGGATAGTTGTATCAATTTCAACTCTTACATTATTTTTTTTTTAAATATATTTGCATTACACATGCAATGGCAGTACCTTTCCAATTACTATTTATGTGTTGTGTCTAAATTAAAGTTGTAACACTTTATAATGACTGGAAAGGGTAGAAAAATTCATCAGATGAGAAAAGGCTGAAGATACTTCAAACGGCACCGAATCATTAGATATTGCATCTTATAAAAGGAAACTGAGATTTGGATAGTCCCACTTCAAGGTAAAAATGTTTATCTCTTGTGAAATGAAATAAAAAAAATATTGTAACACTGTAGTTAATTAATAAAGATACTATTAATGTATTTCTGTATTGGCCTTATTATTGGTTCTCGGCCAGCAGTATTGGCCTTCCGCTTTGCCTCAGACCAATACACCCAAGACATGGACCAATAACAAGGCCAATACAGAAATACTTACGCAATGATATTATAGAATGACAGTATGGTTCAATAGCGGAAATCAGCCCCTCAACTACTTTTTACATAAATATTAACTTCTGGCTTCAACGCTTTGTTCGTCTTGTCTGGAGATCTTGCTGTAGTTCCAGTTCAGCAAGCATTTTAGAGACGTATCCCGTCCATCCTCTTTTGACTTGTAATCTCTGGTGATAGATTTTGCCGCTTGACATTGTATCCTTTCAAGCTTGTTTTTTTTTTGTTACCGTTTAGGGGTCCCATCCCATACTATGGCTCCATATTAAATTATAAGATCCATTCCTAAAGATCTAGATCATTGTTCTAATCTGACACAAATTTCAATAACTGGAATGCTACCCAAGTTGAATATATGGTGACCCACGAGAACAGCATTATCACTATTGAAATTGTGTTTAATACCATGATTGTTCAATGTCATTAACTTAAATGGAGACAGACATTTGACCTGAAAGACATGAAAGGTGGTGTGGGAGTGCAAAATCAAAAACTAACTGACTATGATATATGGTTAAAGAATGAATATCAATTACATGGGTCAACATGGTCAAGGGCAGAGTTGTTATAAAATAACAATATGGCAGAGAAGTGGTTTCAAGTTTCATATAAAGTGACCTGACTGACATGAAATAAAAAATTGAAGGAGTATCCCTATTTGTCTAATCTTCAAGGTGAAATAAAACTAGTAAAACAATATTATACTATTGTCTAAATATACAGAAATATAATTTGCTTCAAGTAACAGAAATAACTAGGTCACTAGTAACTTATTTAATGAGTATGTGGGGTATAAGAGCTTGCTAACAACAGGCTCTTCATAATCATTTGGTTTGAAAAGGCTACTAGTAGTCTATATTCTTGATTTAGAAAAATGTAATTGCAAGAAAAAAATCACATTACTTAGAATACTTTAGATCATTCAGGTAGTCTTTATTTATATGTACAAAAGAACAGCCAGTAGTCATTGGATATTGTAGATCATTCAAATAGTCTTGACCTTTTTATTAGTACAAAAGAACAGCCAGTAGTCATTGGATATTGTAGATCATTCCGGTAGTCTTGACCTATTTATTTATACAAAAAAACAGCCAGTAGTAATTGGATACTGTAGATCATTCAGGTAGTCTTGACCTATTCATTTGTACTGAAAAAAACAGACACATATACGAATATCAATTATATGCTTACGAGACATGTTGCAATGTTAAACTTATTACGGTATGTGAAAATCAAGACTTGCATAAAAAATATCACAATATTAGAGACAGTGGCGTCATTTTTCCTCAGAGCTTTCAGCTCTTTGATTACAACTTATTTGTTAGTGTGATTTGATATATTGTAGATAAGTCAGTGACTGTACACAACCTAGTAGATGGATTGGATAGAAGCTGGCCCAGGACACCTGTTCTGCTACAGAGAAAAAGGGTTGCAGTATTGATTTCTGGATCTGGTAATTATAATTATTTTGATTTAACATTGAAACATAATATGATATAAATGGCTTTTGATTCCTGATTTCTACTTTAAAGGACTTTCTATATGCAGTACTAACTCTTACAGTATACTCCATTTATACGGATGCAAAATTTTTAGATAAAAAAACTGATGTTTAGTTTCAAATTATTTTTTTCCCTATATACATATGTACAAAATACAATTCCAACACCCAATGTAAACAACAAATAAGTAAATCATGTTCTCCCAGACTAAAATATCAATCAGTATATATTCCACAGATTTAGATTAAAGACATCATATACAGTCTGAGAAAAGCATGATCTTATGCAATGCTAAAAAATAAGTACATAATATCGACAGGATGTCTGACCATAAGTTTTCTAATCCAGTTTAATATGTTCTAATTCTGATTTGCATGTAGTATTTGCCACTGGATATTAAACACACATCCATTCATCCCTTGTTTACTGATTACTTATTTGTAAAAAAAATGTTGTCTCTATAAATGTGTTTCTCGTCATTTTAGGGACAAATCTACAGGCTTTGATTGAGCATACAACAGAACAGAATAGTTCAGCTGATATAGTATTAGTGATCTCTAACAAACCAAATGTACAAGGTCTTACTAGGGCAGAAAAAGCTAAAATCGCCACAAAGGTAATAAACTTAATGTGCAAGGTGTAACTAGGGCAGAAATATCTAGAGTTGTCACAAATGTATCAAAACAAAACCATTGGGTCTTATCAAGGCAGACAGATGTAGATCTACCACAACTGTAACAAAACTAATGCATTTGGTATTAACAGTAACAAACTAGATGAGTAGGATTATATTAGGTCAAATAGTACTGCAGTGGTTGTTTCACCTTACTTGTGAGTTTCCAATTCTGAGAGGGGCCTTGGTGGCTGCGTGGTCTTAGTATTAGAACTACTGTATCACTAGCTATCAACACTGAGGTTGAGAGTTTGAATCCGGCATGTTGCAGGTGTGTTCAACTCCAATCTTAATTGACTAAGATCGTCAGTTTTCCTTCGGAAGGTCGTGGTTCTCATTGGGCACTCACCTTCCTCCACCAATAAAAACTTACTGCCATGAAATAGCGCTATAGTGCTGAAAGTGGTGTTAAACACCATTCAATCAATCTTATTCTGAGCAACATAATTATATTTTGTATCAATTTGAATAGAATCGTCAACTTAAAAATGCTGTACATGTTATTGATTTCTGCAATAAAGAGCACTATAAATCCAAATTTTATCCTATATACATTCAAAATATATCTCAACAGGTGATATCCCACAAAGATTATAAGAGCAGAGATGATTTTGATGAAGCACTGCATGCTAGTTTGACGTCTGCTGGTATTGATATTGTCTGCTTGGCAGGATTTATGAGAATATTAACAGGTATGTCAGACATCTTCACAACAGTTAATAGAAGTAAAAGATCTTTTAGAAATATAAATCATGGTCATGTCCCATAATATATACAACCGTGGAAGATAATAATGTCATCTCAATATCAAAATTTCTTTAAATATTTTACTGAAACAAAATTGAAAGTACCTTTAGATACCCTTTGTTGCTTGTTTGGTTCAAAATATATAGAAGTAGACATGACTGAATTTGGAATAGTCTCTAATTTGTTATTTAGAAAAACATAATGTGAACTTTATTCAGTTCAACCTGTTTTTGTTATTGATAATAAAACAATGCCTTATTTAGACTTGTGCAGGTGAAATTTTTACCAATTGCAATTAAATCAATATAATTTTCGAAGATTTTTAACTCCAGGTATGATCAACTGCTTCATAAACTAGTTTTCAATTAATTATCAGCACTAAATATATAATGTCTCCAGAGTTGTGTACATTTGGGCCAAATTTATGTTTTCTTATTCTGAAATGTGATCTCATCATTTCATAAACTTAAGTTAAAATATGTCCTTTTTTGTTTCAAATATGAAATAATACCATTTTGTTCATTCTATAATAACCCATATTTTATACCAAACTTTTAAACTTGTTTCAAGAAGGATGTTGGAACATTCATTGTTTTATCCTTCTTCCAAGGAACATAACTTGTGATATAGGATTCTCATTTACACATTTAGTTCTGGGGTTATTGTATTATAATGTTTGTATGTTTTATATATATAAAATAAGATGTGGTATGATTGCCAATGAGACAACTCTCTACCAGAGACCAAATGATATAGAAGTTAACAACTATAGGTCACTGTTTGGCCTTCAACAATGAGCAAAACCCATACTGCATCTTATGCTAGAAAAGACCCAGAAATGACATATGTAAAACATTTCAAATGAGAAAACTAATGGCCTGATTTATGTACAAAACAATTAATGAAAAACAAAATTGATATACAGAAAAAAAGACAACCACTGAATTACAGGCTCCTGACTTGGGACAGGCCCATATAGAATGTGGTGGGGTTTAAACTTGTTTGCTGGTGTCGAACTCTCCCCCTAACCTGGGACAGTGGTGTAACAATATAACATAGGAACAAACTATAAAAATAAGTTGAAAAGGGCTTAACTCATCAGATCGATACAAAGCACATAAATACCCCCACAAAAGACACTAAGTACAGATCAGAGAGTACTTGCAGTTACTGAAAGCTAGTTCAAAGCCATTAACAACTAATAAAAAATCATATGTCTAAGACTAAATATATATGTTCTTTTTTTTCAAGGGACTTAAAGCATGGTTTTTGTACTTTTAGGTGGTTTTGTGAGGAAGTGGCATGGTAAAATGTTGAATATTCATCCATCTCTCCTTCCCTCATTCAAGGGACATAATGCACATGAGCAAGTGATCAAAGCCAATGTTAGGATATCTGGCTGCACAGTACATTTTGTAGCAGTAAGTACAAATTGACAGAAACAACTTAATTTGTCTTATTTAAACTTAAAACTTTAAGTTTCAAACTTTAAAAAAGTGTAGAATTTTTCATTATAAGATAGACAAAATAGCAGCTGACTTTAAATTTTCAAAAGTTTAAGGTGACATTTGCTATTGCTTGCAAGTCATTGAAGCATATCATTCAACCTTAATAACTTTGATTAAATGATGTTTGTTTTATGCCATCTTAGCTAAAAAGGTATATCAAGGCAAGAACTTTGATTATGGAAACTGTTAGTAATATAATAGTAATGTATTGTTGATTATTCATTTTGATTGTGATATTGAAAAAAAAAATAAAAAAAGTGAAATTGAAAAAAAAATAAAAAAACATAAGAAGTTTATCAAATACTTGATTAATCTGTTTAAATTTTACTTGATTTTCACAGGAGGAAGTAGATGGCGGTGCAATCATAGTACAAGAGTCTGTACCAGTTTACCATGGTGATACAGAGGAGACATTAGCTGAACGTGTCAAGAAAGTAGAGCATACAGCATTCCCTAAAGCTTTAGAGTTGGTTGCTAGTGAAAAGGCTTTGCTGGATTCTGATGGACTCATCAGCTGGAGATAAATTTTCTTAAACATTTTTATAAAAAAAAATTAGCTATGCAAAGTTGACTTTCAACTTCTGATCAAGATGAAATCTTTTAATAAAACTTGTCCAAAATTATTCTGATGATGAGGCTTAACAATGTAATATTTTTATACAATACACAAATGTAGCTAAGGCATATATATAACATTTGTCTATCCATACACATGTATATCAAGCATGGTTAAGTTTTTCATTTCAGCTTGTTTTGTCAGATACTTTGTGATACCAATCATGTTAATTAGTGTTAATTAGTGTTAATTAGTATTAATTAGTGCAACAGAATGCAACAACTATGACACAGTTATATGGATTAACATTTTTGGTAATTTTCAGATGATGTCAATTTCAGAAGAAGCCTTATTATATCATTGATATTTAAATATTGTATAACTCTCAAACTGTAAAATGATTTGCTGTACTAAATCTCTCTCTCACATAAAAATCACAGCTTCGAGTCTACCTGTGACCTACATTTCATATGTGACTTTGGGTCTGTTTACATTAGGTCCCTATTCTAGATTTGCTTAGTGATATATCAATGATATTTGACCATTGTATTTATTCCTGTAATATTTTGGTAATCATGACTTACAATTTATCCATTACAGACACATATAAAGTTTCACATTTTAGGTCCAGGCCTTTCAGTCATAAATCTTTACTTGATATTTGGAGTACAAAATTTGTGCTTGTAACAGTAAATCCAGTATTTTGATTATTAGATTTCTGATTCTTTAGTATGACAATCCTACTCAAAATTTTATAGACTGTAAGGCCAGGCTTTTTTTCACATATTTCATTTGGAGGTGGGACATAGATTTCATACAGCCCCATCATCTTATTCAATGTAAAATATTTTCTTTTTTTGCAATATTTTACAATTAATAATATATTTAGTAATAAGAATGTTTTTTAAGTTATAATGCTTGACATTTTCACAGTTATAAATAAATCCAGTCCCACTATTAACGCAATCTTTCCCCTTCATTGCTCACAATCACATTAATTTACACTATGAGCCCTGCAGTCAGGTATTCTGAGTCACATCCTTAAGTTATCCTCTTTAAATAATATTTTATAGTTATTGATAAAGTAATTTTGATATCTGAATTAATTTTTTGAATGTTTTGTTACAATAAGTCAGCTAACTTAATACATTTTTATCAGCTCCATGAAAAAAGTAGATCACTGTGACTTACATTTCTATTAAATACTGAAGTCAGTTTTTCTTCAGTAATTATACTGGCCTGTCTTGGACTAAATGCTGGAATATAGGAGGGTCTGAATGTGGGTTGGGTCTTTCATTTCTGTATTCTTTATTTTTATGCCTTCTTTCTCTGTCCTATGTTTTTTTGGGCAATTTATTCTATAGTCTTTATCTTTTTGTTTGTTTTTTTGGCCCATTACTTTCTATTTTGTAAACCCCAAACCAAGCGCTTGTAAACAAACACTAACATATGTATTATATGCTCCATTACTATTTGATATAATACTAGGAATGCACTTTGTAATACTCAGATTGAACATGCTCACTGCTCTCATTTAAAACTGAACAACATACTCAATGTCATCTTTTACAATTACTGCACCATTCATCATGTTATGTAATGCTTTCAGTGTTTTTCAAAAACATTTATTTGTTTTATTTCTGTTCCATAGTATGTTTATTCAATTATTTGCCCCCAAGAAAATTCATAAGCATTCTGAAATGGAGAAAATTTTCAAATAACATTTTGTTGTTGAAATTTATAGCTTATGCTAAAAATAAAAAGAGAAACTATTCTTGAGGAAGTGTAGGACTAAGAAATTTTTTTTAGGGGGGGGGGGGGGGCAAATTTTGATTTTTCCATTTTCATTATGGCTAATGATTTTTGTGTGTGACATATTTGTTACAGTGTGGTAAAAAAGAAATAATTTGAATATTTCCATGTAATAGTCCATGTAGCTATCTTTTGTTCACACTTGAATTAATGAGTAAAGGGTGTTTTTTAAAGTTGCAGATCTTTTCTGTTACTATACAGCAAACATTGTAGGAGTGAGGAAATTTTACAGAAAAGTTGAAAACAGTAAAAATCACCCCACATAGAAATATAGTACTCATATCAAATGCATGTCATCACCACTAGGTTGTTTTTGTGTTTAACATTTACATTAATATGAAGTGCCATTAATTTGAAATACTGTTAGAATACTTAGTGCTGTTGTTATATTCAGTATGTGCCATTGTACATTTATGTAAACATTGGATCTCAGATATTTTGTTATTGAATTGGTGCCTTATATCATATGAATCTCTTTATTCAATATTTTTACACTTTATTTTGAGTTTATATTTCAATAAAATTTTGATAACTTACCTTTTTGTTCCACTGAAAACCAGGATTATCTTCATTATTCCGTTGAAAAATACGAATCAATCCTACAGTGATGGGGACCATAGAGTAATCAGTATCAATTTATTTTCCCATCATTTAGTCTGCAATGGATAGTTGTGGATAATGAAAAGTGACAGTGACCAATATAGGTTCCCTTTCCTATCCTTTGACTTTTGGGACCAGAATAAGTTCACTTTTCCATCCTTTGTTTTGTGCGGATAGTTTTCTCATTGCAGATATTACACAATAGCTTATACGAAACAATTTCTGTGAGATTAGGGAAATGAGAAAACTGAAAAACACAGATGACAATGCTAAATCACTTAGTTTTAACTAAGATGAACCATCTCATTATCTTGGCAACTTGTTACTCTTTAATTTTCACAAACCTTTTCACTCTCCAGTAGTTGGGTTTAGTTTTAAGGATAATGTCTTTTTAAATAAGCTTGTGGTGCCAATGTTGTATAGTGTGTGGCTTACTTTGAGGATGATATCTGTCTGACGTCACATGTCTTATGTCATTGACCTCGTTTTCTTTTCCAGTAGTAAGGATCAGTATATACCGCTTGAAATCAATGTGTGTCTTCAGTAATCATTTTAATCTTTTAGGGTAATGTCTGGTTTGTATTTGATTTGGCCTGCTAACTTTTGATTCAACGTCCACTGATGAGTCTTATGAATACGATGCACGTGTCTTGCATACCAGCTTTTACAACCACTGGATCGATGCCACTGCTGGGGGAGGTTTCCGAGAGTATCACCAGCCCAGTAGACAGTATTTTGCACTTTTGTGCTGACATGAAATACTGATATTTTCATTTTATGTAAATATGCTGTTTATAAAATGTTGAAATATTCGGAACACTTAAGGTTTTTAAACCCCAGGTACACATTGCCTTAGGTGTATTTTTGAACTGCAAGTCATTTTCGCAATTTTTGGTTATTAATGCTTTTTAAATATGTTTTCAACTGTTTTGATTTGAGATGAAATGAGTGTCTGATGTGTCGAATTGTAGGCCTGGTATCTTTTATGATTTTTTTTTGCCTCAGTATCTATACAAGGTAGTTCAGCAATATATTTATATGTGGTTTTATTGAGGTTAAAATTGTATGGGTCCTTTCTGTATCTTAGTGACTTCACATGCTCTTTAATGACGATTTTACCAATTTTCAGTGTGTTTGCCTATTATCTTGAAAACGGTAATAAATAGATAGACACTTTGAATAGTAAAAATGATCAGCAAGACAAGATCTATTAATAAGTCAACAGGATTGAAATCGTCAGTCGACTCGTTATTGGAGTCCCTGCTCTTTAATGACGATTTTTACCAATTTTTGGTGATTTTGCCTATTATCTTAAAAACTATAAAAAATTGATACAAACTTTAAGAGACAAAACTAAAAAGCAATACAAGATCAACATAAAAGATTTTTGTCTTGAATTCTATTCTAGTCTACAATGTTTGATAGTGTCCATTGTTAAAAAATTGAAAACAACACGTTTAATAATTTCATGCGTCCGAAGCGCTTTTCTGGATTTACCTTCATCAGGAACGCTCAAAGCCAACTATTTGAAATCCGATGGATGTATAAGTACCGAAACAGTTGAAGAGCTGTATGACAAAAATACCTAAAACAAATAGCCAAATCCATCTAAGGTCAACTTTGCCTGAGGGAGTTGAAACCTTAGTTTCTTTATAATTTCAAAATTTATAAACGGACAATTTTAGAAAAGTTTGTTATAAATCATGTCAGATGCACATAGACCTAGGTGAGTGAAACAGGATCTTTAGGGCCTCTAGTTGACTGATTGCAACAGAAGGAGGTTGACATCAATGTACATGTCAGTCTGGCAGGTTTCATCTGGCTTTGACTTGATTTTCATGGTTCATTGGTCAATGTTACGTTTTGTGTTCGGTATGTTTTTCCAATACTTTAAGCAATAGAGTGTACATACATGCCTGTCTGACAGGTATCATTTGTCCTTGACCTCATTTTCATGGTTAAGTCTGTTTGTAAGATATTACAAGCAATATGTTAACTATATTTGGTTCATGGAAAGATTTTAATGTATAGATGACTGTCTGGCATGATTTATTTGACCTTGACTTCATTTTCATGGTTAATTGGTCAATGTTTAGTTTTCCTGGTTTAGTCTGTTTCTTTGATACTATAAACAATACGTAAACTATATTTAGTGCAAGGAATGGTTGTACGTGTAAATGTCTGTCTGTAATGTATCATCTGACTTTGACCTTTTTTTCAATGTTGAGTTTTGATTGTTTAGTTGGTTTTTTGATATACTTCGAAAACAAGGTCTACTATTCTACTATTATATTTGGTGTATGGAATGATTGTGAGGTGTTTATGTTTGTCTACCAGGGTTTATCTGACCTTGACCTTATTGTCATTGATCAATGATAATGTACAGTTCATGCGTTACTTGTAGTAAAACCTTTATTTTTAAGACTGTCAATATTAAGTTAATCATTGTTAGTAAACCAGGCGAGACATTTCAGTGTGTGCTCGCTTGTAATCTTACTTAAAGATATCTCATTCAATATAAAAATAAGGTGATGTGGTATGATTGCCAATGAGACAAATATCCACCAGTTGATGTGGATGTAAGCAAATATAGGTCACTCTACGATCTTTAATAATGAGCAAAACCCATACGATATAGTCAGCTATAAAAAGAACAGACATATCAAAATGTGAAACAATTGAAATTGGAAAACGAACGACCTGATTTAATGACAAAACAATTAATGAAAACAAATTTGACAGACAGCAACCGTCAACAAAGAATTACAGGATCCTGACTTGGGCAGACTAAGGAATGTGGCAGGATTAAAATGTTTATAAGCGCTCAACCCTCTCTAACCGGGGATAGTGGTGTAAGAGCATAACATAAGAACATTGTCAAACTATAAAAATTAGCATAATCTTCAAATAAAAAGAAAGTTGTAATGAGTAATTACTGTAATATTGTCTTGAAAAAGAGAGGCAAAGGATTGACTTATACGGTTACGCATGCGTTTTTTTTTATGTTAATTGAGTTGGTGAAATGCTATTGCTGTCTTAAATTTATACCCTTTTTGCATTTATATCTAAATATTTGATGTGTAGTTTCATTGATAATGTGTTGCATTCAAGATAACATACCATTGAAACAATTTTGCCGTTAGATTTTTAAATTTTAATTAAAATTGTACAAATCAATTTTATAAGCAGCTCCTGTAGATATGATATATGCCAACGATATTTGCTCTGTTTTTACACTTATGATTTGTAGATGTTTGTTCTTCTTGTTCTGGTTTTGACAAGACAGACTATGATACTCATAAAAAGAAGATTCATAGAAATTGTACTTGTCAACACTATATATATATGTATACTGCTGTGACTGACAATAATGATCTGGTTCAAAGAATACATGTAACAACCCAGGTTGCATTTTTATTGGGTGATTTGATTTGTAAGGGCGAGGGGTACCAAATTTCATGGATTTCGTAGGTTTATGCAAACCACCATTTTAGATTTTTAAAGAAGTATAAATTTTCTATAGGCTTGTAAGATTAGTGCAGACTTTGGTAAATCAACAGAATCAAATATTCAGGAAAATATGATCTTTCCTCAATCCAGGAAAGTTTGTTTCCACAAAAATAAATAAATCCACAGTCTCTGTGACAGAAAGTTTGGAAAGGTTTATTTATTATTATGTCAACACTTTTATTCTATTTACTGTTTCTGTATTGAATTTCAGACCATACTTCCTTTGTTGGAATCTGATTTGTATGACGTGTGCAAGTCTTGTGTTGATGGGACATTAAAACAACACAAACCTGTATTTTCACAAGATAAACATGTGGCTGGAGTTGTTCTTGTTAGTGGTGGCTATCCTGGATCTTATCCTAAAGGGTTAGCAATTACAGGTATGTTAAATAAGAACCAATATAATTAAAAATACAGACCATGTGTCCATGCTTACAAGGATCTGACAACACAACCATTTTTACTCCCTGTTGTTGTAATAGATACATCAGCCAATAATATTTCAGCCTTCAAATTTTTAAAGGTGTTTTTTCAGTCTTTAAAAAAAGGTCTTTAAAACGGAAAATAGAATGGAGCGTTTTCAGATTCTTGTAAGTAAAAGGTGGACACATGGTCTCTATTTCAATCAGATTGCATCAGGACAAAAGGATTGATACAGAGGCCTTATAACGAAGATCAACATTGATAGGATGTGAGTTTTATTGATAATTGATAATATTATGCTTAAAACTTGCAAACTGGGAAATAAATATTTTAAGGATTATACTGGATTTGTATATATAGAATTGTGAAGCATTTTAATTAGGTGATTTGACACTTTATTGTAGAAGACGGCCAGAAAAAAATGAATGTTGACTGCCTTGGACATTTTCTTTCCTGTTTGGGAGTCGATGTTTGACATATACTTTGTCTCCTTTCTTCAATTCCATCAGTAGAGATATAGTGTTAGAATTCCATTCTCTGCCTGGTGTAAATCCATTAGCAAAAATAGCCTGGTTTTTGTTTATCTGGAAGGTGATTCGTGAGCTTCCTAAAGCCATAAGAAGACAAGATATCTCATACAATCCTTGTTTTGGAGCGGTAAAGTGTCCAGTGGTTGGGTTGTAGTGATTCCCTATGTTTGTTCTCACATCGTCAAATTTCAAAATGTCATTTCCAGTGAATATAACACTATTAGTCTTTTCAAATGCAAAGAAAGCTGGTCTGTCTTTCAACATATCTGAAAAAAAAATGTTATATTTGTTTCCGCAATTATTATATACATGTAATTACAAAATAAGTAAAACTGGCTTCTCTTAAAATTCTTGGATGTCATAACTGGATTAAATTTACATAGCAAATTTGAAGGCAGAACTCCTAGTTGTGTCTAATAGAAAACTTGTTATAGAATAACTACATATTTTCTAAGAATTAAAATATGGAAAAATATTCAAAGAATGAAAATACATACATTTAAGAATGCGCTTAGGGCATGAGTTAATAGTCAGTTTTTCTAATTTGTCACAAGTGGAATATTTTACAATATTTTAATTTTTAGATGAGTTAATAATTTTATTACATTTACATTTAAATGGAAATCAAGTAGAAATCAAGGAACTATGTCTTTTTTACGCAATCTCTTTTTGTTTTGATGCTACTTGTAGGTTCCGACATGTTGAAGGGTCAACATATTGGCTTATGTTTAAACATGTTAGGATATTTTTAGGATCGATTAAATAGTAATCATTAAAAATTTGATGGCACTTAACCCCTTCGCCCCCAATCCCGTTTCTAGTGGTGATTAGAACCTCCATTGTTTGATAGCCTATATGACCCTCCATACTTTTTTAGAACTGCCACTGCTGAACTGTGTTGACAGTAGGGAGTTCAACCATGCAATTCATGGTCCATAAACTCTTTCAAGATGTGTTGTTATGAATATTTGACAACCTTAATGCCCTTCTTAGAGTGCAAAATAGGAAATTAGTGAAAAGTGGCCAAAATAAGGTGAGGATGGGAGTCATTTGATGGCCACCACGTTAATGGTATGGATCGTAGGTATTAACTATTATCATAAATACATGCATAGGTAGTTCAGGAACACAAGGATGTACAATCAAGTCACATTTACTTCCAGACAACCTGGATGGACCGTTGTTACTACAAGGTAATAAATGAACGACAAAGACACACAGTTTGGTCATTGTTCACCTCTCAAGGTCGTATTAAAATCGCAAAATAGACTCAAAATCTTATCTTTCTTCCTAAGAAGTTCCTGTATGAAGTCAGCCTCATAATAATAAAGAAACAAGTCGGCAAGAAGAGGGGCACAATTGGTTCCCATTGGAATTCCGACAGTCTGTTGAAAAACACGTCCTCCAAACGTAACAAATATGTTGTCAATCAAGAAATCAAGCATCTTGATAATGTCAGTTTCAGAAAATTTTTTAACAATTCCATAAGTATTTGTCACTTGTGATTTTTCACTATATATTTCATTTAAAACTGTTTATTTTTTTTTAAATATTGTGAGGTAATTTCTGGTCAGATTTTAATTAACTTGGTACTGATAAAGTAGAATTGTCACAAACTTATTTGTTTATTTAGTTATATTTTTGTTGTGACGCGTTTTCATTTTCTGATGATATCAACACAGGTATTGGTTTCTTTTTCATAAATTTACTATATATTTCAATCATATTAAATTATAAAAAAATATTATACGTGTTCATATCAAGAGAAGACAAAAACAATTGATGACAAAACTATGACCAAATAAATAAATATACTTTAAACAATTCTGTCTTTTAACACCTGGTTTGTCAAAATCCAACAATAAATGCCTTCAAAATAATTTTTAGCTCACTTTGCCCAAAGGGCTATCACTTGGTGTCTGTAGTCGTCGTCCGTCCGGCGGTGTCCGTCGTCGTCTACGTCTAAAATTTTTCATACATTTTCTCCTCTGAAATTACTAAACCAATTTCAACCAAACTTGGGGAGTATGATCCTAACGTATCTAGTATAAAGTTTTTTCCCGGTCAGTCAACTAACAAGGCCAATATGGCTAAAAATAGAACGTAGGGATAAACCACAGTTTTTGGCTTATATGGCTTATATGTCAACAACTTTAGCAGTTAGAGCAAAACTGACTGGGTAAAATTATCAGCAGGTAAAGGTCTATTTGTTGGTAATTTTTCAGACAAATCGGACAGACTGATTTGGAGTCATTGCCCTTGAAATAGTATTCTTTATGAATTTTCACACTTTTTGGTTAGTATCTTGAAAACTTCCATAGATTAAGTGGAATTTAAGACAGCAAAAATTTTTAGGGAAGTAAGATCTACCAATACGTTTTAGGACCGAATTCATCAATAGATCCCTTATAGGAGTTATTGCCCTTGAAAGACTATTTCTATTTAATTTTTAAGTTTCTTTTCAGAAACTATGATAAATAGATAGAAATTTTGAATAACAAAAATGTTCACCAAAGTTTGACTTACAAACAAGTCATCATAACAAAAGTTGTCAATTGATGCCTTATATGTCTTATAGTACCTGAAAGATAATTTTTACCGATTTTTTTAGTTTTTCACAGAAACTATGATAGATAGACAGACACTGCAAAAGCAAAAACGTTCATCAAAATAAGATTTACAGATAAGAACAAAATTCGTCTTAAGATCACTTATATGAGTTATTGCCCTTGAAAGGCTATTTTTATTAAATTTTAAAGTTTTTTTCAGAAACTATGATAGAAAGACAGAAACTTCAAACAGCAAAAATGTTCAGCAAAGTAAGAGCTACAGATAAGTCAACATGACCAAAATTGTGAATTGGTTCCTTATAGGAGTTACTGCACTTGAAAGAAATTTTTTTGTCTTTTTTTTTTAGTTTTTTACAGAAACTATGATAGATATAGAGAAACTTCAAACAGCAAAAATATTTAGCATAGTAAGACCTATGAATAAATCAACATGATCGAAATCGTCAATTGATCCCCTACAGGAGTTATCCCCTTGAAAGATGATTTTTACCATTTCTTTTTTATTTCTCAAAAACTATGATAGATTGCTTGGCTAAAATGTTCAGCAAAGTAAGACCTACAAATAATTCAACATTAACAAAATCATCGATTGATCTCTGATAAGAGTTATTGACCTTGAAAGAAGATTTTTACCATTTTTTTATAATTTAAAAAAAAATCTATGACAGATAAAGAGAATCTGTAAAAGGTCAAATTATTCAGCAAAGTAAGGCATACAAATAAATCAATTGACCAAAATTGTTAATAAACCCCTTATAATAAAGAGGTATTGCCCTTAAAAGATGATTTTTCCAGGGGTTTTTTTCTTCAGTTTTTGCAGAAATTGTGATAGAGAGAAACTTTAAATGACATTTTTAAACACGGATTAACATACTTGAACATAAAATAGCAAAATAATCATTGAAGCAGGATCTACACAAAAAGTTACAGATACGCGATTCAAGCTCTGGGGGAGCCTCTTGTTTTTTAAATGTCAACTCTTATCCCACAATTCACAGAAGATTACAACGTATTTGATATTCAAAAAATAATTTTCGCTCACTGAAAACAGAAGTTTTGTAGAATAACTTTTTAAATATGTTTTTTATTATTTGGCTAATAATATTCAGTTTTGGCAGAGAGAAAAATTAAAATTAAAACTTCACTGGTTTTCTCCAACATTGGTACTAAAAAGTCTGAAAAACAACTGAATTTTGTCAAAACCCCTGAAACTGGTATCCAGAAATCATAACAAATCCTCAGTTTACACACAATCGTACTAGAAAAGTATATCTATCTGCAATATAAACTACTGTCACCATAATGGCATAATATTTTTTGTATAAGTGAACATTAGTCTAGAAGTCCTGATCAGATTTGCTCAAACAATGTATTAAATTGTAAATGTAAAATGATTGTAATCTGTACCACTGTTTTATTTCTACTGTGAGATCAAAAATCAAATGTATCTAAACATCTGTATGATTATTTGACTAAGTTTCAAATTTTACACCCTTTCCAGTCAGTTTTTAGACATAACCATTAATGTCTTACTTCCCTCATTAATATCATTGATAAATGGCTACATGAAATGAATAATGGAAATATCAATTTGGCAGTTCTCCTGGATTAAAAAAAGCTTTTGATGTTTATCATGAAATCTTATACAAAGAATTTGAAATTTATAACTTCCATGACAATACTGTTGCTTTCTGTAAAATAATATTTGAAAGAAAGAACACAGCAAGTCCATAACAGTACTCAATATTATTCTGATAAAACATTGATAAATTTAGGTGTTCCACAGGACCTAATACTTGGTCCCATTTTGTTTGTTTTGTACATAAATGACCCTCCATTATATATTAACGGTTGCCATACAGACTTGTATGTAGATGACACAACTAATGCATACATCAGGAGAGTATTGCTGATATGCAATTATAAGTAAAATTAAAAGATGATCTCCAATTTGTTGAAAAATGGTGTCATGAAAATAATATGTTACTTAATTCTGATAAAAATATGATAAATGATATGGTTATAGGTACAAGACAAAGACTGCGTTTCCATCAAGCAGAACAAATTCTAACCATTGAGAATACTATTCTTCAAAAATCATCAATTGAAAAACTTTAAGGTGTTAGAATGGACTCTAATCTATCATGGACAGAATCTCATACCATAAATCTGTTCTGTTGCATAAATGGATTAAGTATGAAGCCCCTGTATGTTTAACTGAAAAATTTAAAGAAATGCCAGAAATAAACCAATATTATTTGAGGAATACATCTTACAAAACAATTGCAAGTTCCAAAAGCCAAAACAAAGCTGTTTAAGAAATCTTTTATATATTTAGGATCTATTTTATGGAATAACTTACCAATATCACTGAAAATATCAACCCCAGGTACAAGTTCCTACAAAAAAGACCTAAAAATTACTTGTTGGAACATTAAGAAGCTGTGTAATTTGATTTGCATAATAATTTTTCGAACACTTATTTAAATTTTAAATATTGTTGAGGTATTTTGAATAATGCCAATACTACATGAATTCATCATTTTTACCTGTTGTATAACAATTTCTCATTTGATTATTCTTACGTGTGTGTTTATTTGATTATTTTGTAAATCTTTGTTTGTTATATTTCAATGTTTTCAATGATGGCCTCAGGGAATGTTAGTTTTATAGCTAACCGTGTAACCCTTTTTAAAATGAAGAATTACTATTATTATAATCAAAAATGAACAATTAAATTATCTTAATAAAAAAAAACCAAGCAGATTTGGAATGATTGCCAATGAGACAACTATCCACCATATACCAAATGAAGTAGAAGTAAGCAGCTGAGTAAGTTATATGCTTCTTGTGCATTTTAACAACAAATTATCAAAATTAAGAGTATTATAAAAAATTAAGAATGTAGATAGATTTTAATTTCCATATACATTTTTTGTTCTTTAAAACGCAAAAACCACTTTTGTGTTTTCAATGTCAAGGTCCTTGGATCAAATGTCATTTCTATTTTGTTTTTTGTCGCATTGAAATTGGGACCATCCTGAAATGGTGTAAACAGTTTACCAGTCTTGAATAAGAAAAGAGAAAAGAGTATCTACCATTTAGGAATATCTGCAGTTCATTTACTATTCTGGAATGTTTTGACACATTGAACATTCTGGACAGTACATCAACAGAATGGTTAAATGTCAGGTGGTTGTGGATATGTAATTAGTCATTTAAGATTTATCCGACTAATGTTATTGGAAGCAAAATAGGAAATGATATTTGCTCTAATTTACCTTTATACATAATCTTTGAGGAAATTCTAATTTAAAACTGATCTGCATTCTAGAATTTTTAATAAACCCATAATTTTGATAATTCTCTGTTAGACATAAAGTGTTGTTCAGGAAAGAAAATCAAGTGTATATTTCTAGCTGAAAGGTCTTTGACAAGGATTGTTGAAAAAACAAGAATAAATCATCTACATCAAATAAGGATGACTATACCTTTTGGTTTACATTGGCATTTGTGTGGCGAGGGTCTGTTACGTCCACCATTAGAAATCTCCATCTGCCATTTTATGTATTTCATGAGATCAGATTCTGCTTCCGAACATTTGTTCTTTTCGGCAAGTACATCGGTCAATGCCAAGATACTGATGATTGAACAGAACGAGAGGATATTCATTCTGAAATAATTGATTTGGCTCGGTTATATGAAGCAACATTATAAACTAAACCATGTGTATGACAAATAAAAAAGGAATATGTGAAATTTACCCAAAGGAACTTACTTTAAATAAATCTAAAACAGACATCACTTAATGTCCTTTTCTAGATTTGGATATTTCAGTGTCACACAGGAAACTGACTTTTCTAAAATGTATGACGAAAGAGACAATTTTTCAATCCCAATTGTTAATTTTCCATTTTTAACAGGATTTCCGAAGGAAAGTATCGGTTATTAATTTGGTGATGTTCGGGCAGTCGGGCAGTCGGGCGGCTGCCAAACAGTGTCCGTGCAATAAATTGAAAACGTTTTGACGATATCTTTTCAAATTTAGATATGTTGTTTCCTATGACTAAATGATGGTGAAGTTCAATTTTGACGATTTTAGCTTCTATAGTTGTTATAGATGTCAAATTTAGACATGTTGCTTTCTGTGACTCAATGATGGTCGAGTTTGATTTTCAGGATTTTAGCTTTTATAGTTGTTTAGTTGTAGACTTTTAAGTAGCGAAAAGTGATACTTAGAGCGTTGTCCGTGCAATATCTTGATAACGCTTTGACGAAATCTTTTCAAATTTAGATATGTTGTTTCCTGTGACTTAATGAAGGTTAAGTTTAATTTTCATGATTTTAACTTTTAGTTTTGTTTAGTTGTAGACCTTTAAGTAGTGAAAAGTGATACTTAGAGCGTTGTCCGTGCAATTACTTGAAAACGCTTTGACGAGATCTTTTCCAATTTAGATATGTTGTTTCCTGCGACGCAATGAAGGTCTTACAGTGTGTATGTTTCACAACTTATTCACTATGCTCTTGTCTGTAGTAACGTTTAAATTTCAATGAACGTTATTTATGTATAACTGGTAAATTATTAAGTCAGGGATTTCTTTACCACAAATTCATTAAAACCATTACTAAGTTCTGTCATAGATACAAAGATTTGGTTTGAAAGTTTGGCTGTACCTTTAGAAGTCTTATTAAAAAAGGGATATCACATTGTAATTTGTATGGTGATGTTGTTTATAAATCCCGTAAATTAAGACACTATCCATGTAAACTAATTGATCCTTTGAACAAACTTATTCCTAAAGGTTATCAATTGAACACAGTAGTAAAATCTTTGAATATTTTTTTATCGGTACTAACATTGATTTTGTTTTTGAAAAATTAAAACGTAGCTAAATATTTATTGCTATGTATGTACAGCTATGAGAATTCATTATCCTACATCCTGTCCATACTGTCTACTTATATTTTGGCATTACATAAGGTCATGCGTTTCTCAGACTGTTATTGATGTCTTCACACTAAATCCTTTGGATGTGTACTGATTGATACTTGAGTCTGGGGGAACATGATTTATTTATTAGTTGGAATTGGCTTTGAACTAGCTTTCAATAACTGAGAGTTCACTTATTTCGTTGCTTTGCTCTATGGTTTTATGTTAGTGATTTTTGTGCCTCCTACAGATCTTTTGAGTTAAGCCAAAAGTTTGTTCTTATGTTGTGCTGTTACACCACTGTCCAGGTTAGGACGAGGGCTGACCCCTCACAAACATGTTTAACCCTGCCACATTTTTTATGTGCCTGTCCAAAGTCAGGATCCTGTAGTATAGTGGTTGTTGTTGGTTCATGTCTGTCATATTTGTTTTTTCGTAAATTGTTTTGTTATGAATTAGGCCATTAGTTTATCGTTTGAAATTTTTTATATTTTTCATTTTTGGGCCTTTTAAAGCCAACTATACGGTATGGGTTTTTCTCATTGTAAAAGGACATACAGTGCCGTTAATTGCTTACTACCAGTTCCTTTTATAACTCTGATGGATAGTTATCTAATTGGCAACAATACCACATCTCCTCATTGTTATGCCTTAGGCAACAGGGGCATTAAGTGTTACCTTTGGCTCTCTGTCCGTTACATTTTCACTTAAGTTTTCCTCATCCAAATTTTATGAAACTCATACACAATGCTAAGAACTAAAACTTGCAGACAGAGTTCGAATGTGGGAAGTGATTTACTTATCGTTCTAGAGTTATACCCCTTTATAACTTGGAAAATTGCAATTTTTTTGTTTCCTCACTCTAACTTGAGTTTGTCTCATCCAAATTTGAAAAAAATAATACACAATGTTAAGAACCAAAATTTGCAGACAGAGTACGAATTTGGGCAGTCAGTCAACTTCCGTTCTAGAGTTATGCCGCTTTATAACTTGAAAATTGCCTTTTTTTTTTTTGTTTTCGCACTCTTACTTACATTTGCCTCGCCCAAATTTTATATAACTGTTGCACAATTCTAAGAACCGCAACACGCAGGCTGAATTTATATTTTGGTAGTATGTTAATTACTGTTCTTGAGTTATTAGATATAAGAAGATGTGGTATGAGTGCCAATGAGACAACTCTCCATCCAAGTCAAAATTTATAAAAGTAAACCATTATAGGTCACAGTACGGTCTTCAACACGGAGCCTTGGCTCACACCGAACAGTAAGCTATAAAGGGCCCCAAAATATTACTAGTGTAAAACCATTCAAACGGGAAAACCAACGGTCTAATGCCCTTTATAACTTGGAAAATTGCAAACTTTTCAGATTTTTCACTCTTACTTAAGTTTGTCTCATCCAAATTTGATGAAACTCATATACAATCTTAAGAACCACAACACGCAGACTGCGTCCGAATTTGGGCAGTGAGTTATTTACCGTTCTAGAGTTATGCCCATATTTTAACTTGGAAAATTGCAAAGCTTGAGTGGGGGCAATTGTGTCCTCAGACACATTATTCTTTTATTTGATATAAATTTGCTTGTATTTATGAATAAAAGATTGATTGATTGATTGTTAGTTGCTTGACATCCAGTGGGAAATATAACATACAGGTTCAGGATGAGAACAAATCAGCAATGCATAAAATAGGTAGGTCCTGTAATGGTTGTCAAGGATGAAGGACCGGAAATTTAGACTGCCACAGTGACTTTAAAAATGAGGATAAATTGGTTATGGACAAAGATTTAACATTACAAGAGGCCACCAAAGACCCCTCAAAGAGTTGTTGCAAGGGTTCTTAACGTGCAGAAAGTGTGACACCCTCTAGTCATCATATTTAACGTCCCCATTCTGACCTGATCGTGACTGCAAATCTATACATCCTGCACAACCAAATGGAGGCCCCACTTTGACAAGGGTTTTAGTGTCTGTTGGAAGAAGTCCAAGATTGGCCTGATTTAAATTCTCCAGTCACCCTTGGTGTATATGAATTAAAGTAGAAATGAATGAAACTAAAACCCAACAACGTCATAAAGCAAAAATCAAATAACATCTTGTGGTCTACACACACAGTCGTCAATATCATAAAACAAGCTCTGAACTACCCTTTGTATAAAATTAAGGAGATTTGGTATGAGTGCCTTTGAGACAACTATCCATAAAGAACAAATGACAAAGACTTAGATAATTTTTTAATCTATTATATAACAATATAAATTATAAAAACTTTTACTATCTAAACCTAAATCCAAAGCTCCTAGCAAGTCAGACTACTGCAGATGTGCCTTTATCAGTTTTAAGTGTCTAAATTTAGTCCTACAAGATCTATTAAAAATAATGCCAGCTTGAGTGAAAATATCAATTGACTCCTTTTTATGATATTGCCCTAAACTGAAAATTTGTATCTATTATTTACATTTTTGCATCAAAGATTTTCACCTCGAAAACAATTGAATCAATTGAAAGAAGTTTAAGGAATGATCCTATTTGAATACAGATTTTACTTTGTTAATTGTATTGAAATTTAATAGTGTAAAGATGAATGATGACACAACCCAAAGATGACAATAATCTGCTCGGTAAACAGAAAAAAGGTCACAGGAAAAAAAGTCACAAATTTGGTAGGAAAAAAAGTCACACATTGTATAAATGTAGGAAAAAAGTCACGCATCTGATGAGAAATGATGTACATTTTATACACATTTTTAACAGTATTTCATTGCTTTTTTTTTCTTTTTAAAGTCACACTTTTAAGTGTTAATCTGTCCAGACAGAAGACGATTGACAGGAAATGTAAATGAGTAATGAATTGAAGCCATTTGATATAGCTAATATTTGATTTGATTTTTTGGTGTTTTAACGCCACTTTTAAGCACCGCTTTTGGGCTATTTCGTGGCGGCCAGTTTTTATTGGTGGAGGAAGCCGGAGTGCCCGGAGAAAACCACCGACCTTCGATAGGAAAACTGACAATCCTAGTCAATTAAGATTGGAGTCGAGTGCACCCGCACGAGCGGGTTCGAACTCACAACCTCAGTGTTGACTGGCTAGTGATTACAGTAGTAACTACTTAGACCACTCGGCCACCGAGGCCCCGATATAGCTAATAACCGTCTGTTCAATTGTTCTAAAAAAAATTGACATTTTCTTGGGCAACATTTTGTTTTAATCTTGTAAAATTTATTAAATTGCAATAAACACCTACATTGAAATACCCTTGTATTCTAACATTAAAAGATGTTGAAACATTCTGAAACACTATTCAGTTGATATAATTTACAAAATACAATTTCAAATGATTTTCCTGTGACTTTTTCCATACCTTTCAAACATATAATATATAGATATAAGAAGATGTGGTATGAGTGCCAATGAGACAACTCTCCATCCAAGTCAAAATTTTATAAAAGTAAACAATTATAGGTCAAAGTACGGTCTTCAACACGGAGCCTTGGCTCACACCGAACAGTAAGCTATAAAGGGCCCCAAAAATTACTAGTGTAAAACCATTCAAACGGGAAAATATACATATATATGTATCTGTCTTCATCTAATAAGAATCTTCAAAAATTTATTATACAAAATTTACTATTTTTTTTTATTGTGACTTTATTTCCTGTGACTTTTTTTCCTACATTCATTTGCTCAAAACGGAGTGCATAACAGATAGTGTTTATAAAATAATGAAAAAAATTATAGTACCTTGCATGTAAGAATCTCCAAAAATCCATGTACAATAGTTATCATTTACATATGTCTTTATATATATATATATTTAAAGATATTCAATTTCATAATATTGAAAATCTATAATTACTTTGAATTCTGACACATATGTTCCACTATTATTTCTTGGAATACAATTAAAAAAATGAATTATAATATTGCATGTGTACTTAAAACAATTAAATATTTGTACTATCAGAGACAAAATGATTTTTGAGTAAATTGCATCTCTATGGCTTAACTTTAATCTAACAAATAATCTTAAATCTAAACTTTTAACTATCATAATTCTGCCAGTTGCAATTTGACATTTTCAATCAATTTTTATTCTTATCTAGATGATGATATTTTTCTATGCAACTTCCACACTTGAACAAAACTTTGTAAATATGAAATGAGGCTAAATCATGCAATGATTGAAATTATTCTGGTCAGCCAACATAGGGTCGAATTTCAGTTTTTTTTTGCTTATATTTAAAACAAATTACAAATGGAGCGAATCTGTCGGGTAAAATTGATCAACAGGTCAAGGTCTATCTACTGTAAAATTTTCAGAAAAAATCGGACAACCTTTTGGAGTTATTGCCCCTGAAATGTCAATATTTAGTAAATTTCAAAGTTGTTGACTTATATCTAAAAAAAATACAGCAGTAAGAGCAAATCTTTCAGTGTAGAATTGAACAGCAGGTCAATGTCTATCTCCTGCGAAATTTTCAGAAAAGTCTGACAACCCATTTTGGAGATATTGTTCTTGAAATGTAATTTTTTTTTCAAATTTCACAGTTTTTGGTTATTATCTTGAAAACAGATGGAGAGAAATTTTAAACAGTATATATGCCAGGACAATAAAAACTATAAATGTGTACATATGGAAGAATTGTCAATTAATCCCTTATAGGAGTTATTGCCCTTGAAAGACTAATTTTACTCATTTGCAGAAACTTTAATACATGGAGAGAAATTGTAAAAAGCAAAAGTGTTAAGCAAAATAATATCTACAAATACTATAATGGATAGAGATAAATAGTGAACAGCAAAAGTTATCAGCAAAATAAGATCTACAAATAAGTCAACTTAACCGAAATTGGTATTTTTTTCATTTTTTGCAGAAATCATTACAGATAGAGTGAAATTTCAAAAAGTAAAGATGTTTAGCATAATAAGATCTACAAATAAATCAACATTGGTGAAATTGTCAACTGACTCATTTTAGGATTTATTGCCCTTGAAAGATGATTTTTTTCTATTTGAGCATTTTTTGCCACAATTAAAATAGAAAGTGAGAAACAGTAAAATAGCTATTCAGCACGATAATATTTACAAATAATTCTCTAAACTTTTTAGTTGGTAATTACATTACCACCCATATTGGAAGCCAGTGAAATGTGACCTTTTTTATTATGAAGTAGAAATCAAGCTGAATCAGTAGTTTATCTCATATAAGACATATAAACAAAAACAAGTAAACATACAATGATTTAGTTTTAAAATATTTTTTGATGATAAACATATGCACAAAATGCACTTCCAAATCCCATTTAAACTACTAACAAGTAAATCATTTTCTCTTAGACTAAAGTATCAATCTGTATACATTCAACAGATTTTGATTAAAGACATCATAAACAGTCTGAGAAAAGCATGACCTTTGCAATGTCAAAATATAAGTACATTATATCGACAGGTTGTCAGACCATAAGTTTTCTAAACCAGTTCAATATGTTCTAATCCTGATTTGCATGCAGTTTTTGCCACTGGATATTTTAAGGATGTATTCTTCTGAGGTTTCAGTCTCGTTGAATCTCGTTTGGTAATTCTTTCCAAAACATGTGATACAAGTGGAAAATATCAATGAATATAAAAAATATTATAATCAAACTAAACTCTGTGAAAAAATTGTGTAATTACAATAAGTAGTTTTTGAGTAAAAAAATTTTCAAATTTTATAACCGATCTGGTGAGTGTCATCAGCAAAAATGTTGAGAAAATAGGTGATGGTACAAACAAATGATTTTACTAAAAATATGTAAATCCCATATCAATTATTTTTTGACCGAACCCGATTAGGTGGTGTTGCATCTTACAAAGTCTATCCAAATTATTTTTGCAAAGAATTCCGTTCAAACCGATGCTAGGGGCCGTCTTAAACTTGCAGTGAGGTGAGAGTTTTTTTTTTGCTCCGTGTTGAAGGCCTCACTGTGACTTTGAGATGAAGAACAGCAATAAAAGTGCCGTTACTTTGCTTTTTGTGTGTTTTTTTTTGCTCCGATTTTGTGTCATGGATGGATACCCAATATCCTTTGTTTTTCTATTATATATACTAAACTAAGTACTGTGTGCGCGTTGTTTTGTGTTTATTACAAATCTAAAACCTTTTATCGACAAATAATATTTCATTCAGTGATTGTTGATAGCAAGCTAATTAACTTTTAAGTTTGTTGCCGCAGTTGACCGGATCGTGATATTGATAAACAATCAACTCAGAGCATGTGGAGTACGTGAAAAATAATTGAATTAATAGAGCCATGATATATTTGTCTTATATTTTCCATGCGTCCCCATTTGTTAATTAAACTTTGCCTTAACATTTGTTTGTTGTATTAAATTTTTTCTTAAAGAATCAGAAATTACTATTTACTTTCCGGTTTACCTTTGATGACATCTTTCATCATGACTTTCCCCTTTCACTTGCGCTGTGTGAGGGCCGAAGTTCTAACGCGAGGTCTCATAGTTAAGTCACTGCATATAAGAAATTATCGGCGAATGAGTGTACGGGAAGACAGTAATTCAATAGCAGTACATTTATGAAGGATTTTATTTTACACGAAAGTTCATGCTCTTTTGTTTTATAGTAAAACTTAGCCATTCAATTATATAAAGCATATTCAACTTTTTTTTTTTTAATTTAAAGTTTCATATGACTTTTATGGACAGGGTTTAACTAGGGCAAAATCAACACAAAGGTAACAAATTGAATGTAAAGGGTTCAACTAAGAAGGAAAATCATCAATTTTCACATAGTATTAGACCAAATCCACAATGTCTAACCAAGGCAGAAAAAGCTGGATATACACATATAATAACAAACCAATTGCCCAGAGTCTTAAGACCAGTGCAGAAACATCTACATTTGCCACAAATGTAACATAAGAAAAGCATTAGGTCATATTGAGTCAGAAACATCTAGAATTTCCTCAAATAACAGAATTAATTTATTGGGTCTTATCAAGGCAAACCTATCAGGAATGCTACAAAATTTGAGTGTTTCCATGGCAGTCAAATCTGGAATTGCTACAATTGTAACAAAACAAATGTATTTGGTCATAATAAACTTAAGTGTAAGATGTTAGCAAGTCAAACAATCCTGCAGTGGTTCTTTTCAGGGTTGTTTCACCTTACTTGTGAGCTTCTATTTCTGAGTAACATAATTATGGCTTGTATCAACTTGAATAAAATTAACAACTTTAAAACACTATGTATATATTTTTGTTTGTTTCTGCAATGAATGTCACTTTATATCAAAACAATATCTTGCATACTTTCTACATATGTCTCAACAGGTGATATCCCACAAAGATTTTAAGAGCAGAGATGATTTTGATAAAGCACTGCATGCTAGTTTGACGTCTGCTGGTATTGATATTGTCTGCTTGGCAGGATTTATGAGAATATTAACAGGTATGAAAGCCTGCTTCACAACAGTATAAAGAAGTAGTAGATCTTTTGAAACTATAAATCATGGTCATGCCCCATAATATTAAATAAAAATGGCCCAGGTCCTGTAGTGGGCCAAAAATGACAAGTTGTAGCATTTATGAGTTTTTATGACCAAATACAAATTTATAACTCCATAAAGGTGAACCAACGCCGTAGAATACAAATTTGTTAACACTTAGCTTGAGAGCATCATTATAATATGTGACATATTTAGATCCCAATAACAAGTGAAGAGTCCCAGATAGCAAGACGTTGGCATCTTCATCTATGTTTAGACAAATAGCTAAAATAAATGAAAATGGGAAGAGTAACAGGTAATATTTTGAAATCTGATGATTATTTTTAGGTATAATGAAAATGGAAAACTTGAAAGCTCCTGAGAGCTAAATATGTGATTTGAGAATTTGCACAGAATTTGAATAAAACTTTATATTTGATTGAATTGATATATCAAAACTATCATAAATAATTTTTTAAGAAATCATATTTCTTAATATAACAAATGCAAAAGTTCTTCATTAAGTTTGTCAAAAGTATATTTTTTTCAGAGAATATATTAATAATAATGATCTTATCTTACAACAATGAGATATATGTAGTTTTACAATCAAGAATTTACACCGAAAACATGAATAAAATGTCAATTAAAATCTCCAGTTATGAAGTCTAAACTTGTGACTGGGCAACTCTGTTATATGTCTGCACAGTTCTGGGGTTACTGAATTGTAATTCGTTTTATGTTTTATGTGTTATTTTTTTCAAGGGACTTAATTCATGGTTTTTGTACTTATAGGTGGTTTTGTGAGGAAGTGGCATGCTAAAATGTTGAATATTCATCCATCTCTCCTTCCACCATTCAAGGGACATAATGCACATGAGCAAGTGATCAAAGCCAATGTTAGGATATCTGGCTGCACAGTACATTTTGTAGCAGTAAGTACAAATTGGAGTTACCACTTGTTTGTCTTAATTAAACTTAAACAGTTCTTTCAAACAGTATTTCAATCTTTAGCTGATGACTTTGGAATTTTCAAGATGGTAACCGTGGAAACTGTGAATGCAGAAATGCAGAAATGTAACCAGTCATGCTTATATTTACAGTTAGTGTTTGAAAATTTATAAATGGTAATTGTTACCATGGAAACTGTCAGTTTTGGATGAAATTTGCTATTGCTTGAAATTGCAATTGAAACTCCAGTTATATGTGTCATTTCAATGTTTTATATCATTTATTACATTGATTGATTGATGTTTGTTTGATGCAACTTAGGGCAAAAGGTTAT